TTCTTCATCAAATCATCATAATTTTGTGAATATACCCTAATTTTCCTGAAACACTCACGGGAAACAGCGCATCTCTCTGGAAATGGTAAGTTGAAAGATTAATGCGACGTTGCCGCTTCATTTTATTAAAGGTCATTAGCGGGAGGGAATCGGAAACGGACTTGGGCAGCGGTCATTAGCGGGAGGGAATCTCGGGAGGGAATCGGGTGCCCCCCGTCAGCGGCAACGACGATCGGGAAGGTGGTCTTTAACTCATGAGCCCTGTCCACAAGGCTCTTGTCACAGTTCCACCGATCACGAGTTGGCGCTCAGTTCCTTTTGATTTAATATCGAATCCCGCTTTTCCATTTTCTCAAAAGGAACTATATCCACTTTTACATCGTTTCTTATCTGGCTTCCACCTGCACACCCCATCTTTCCACTTGCACATAGTTCCTTCAAGCATAAATATGTTCAAATAATGTATAACCGAAAGTCTGCAAAGTCATCGACAAAGGCACGCATTTCAGCCATCAATATCCAGCTCAAGATACCAGCACGTAAACAGTCTTAAAAAAACCTGGAGTGGTGCTGAGACTCAAAAATTAAGCCACCCATGAAGCTGATTATAATCTCATCTGAAATTAGACAAAATTAGCCAGGTATCGAATCAGATTAAAATCAACCTATTTGATAAAAAATTACTGAGGTTACGACAACATAGGAATGAGCTGCACATGAATCATTCGGGTTTTTATTATAACCAAATTACTTTTTCTTCAAATCAAATTTGCTCAACAAATTTTTTGTACGTGTTTCCCAGTAAAATCCTCTTGGTTTCAATGTAAAGAATTAAATATCCAAGGAATTCTGTAACTGTAAATTAAGGGTAAGAGAAAGCCTTCTCATGAGATCCTTATAAAATCAAGGGATTATGAGAACCAAACTCATGAAAAAAAATTAGATGAAGTATAATCCATGAAATAGCTGCAATTGTAACTTGTAGGTAATTGAATTTCACACTGGGTGACTTGATTATAAGAAAGTTTGCAACTGTGTACGGAACATGGATCTGTACAAATCATTTATTGATTATTAAAAGTACTGTAATATGTTTATTGACCAGGTCTATATGAATATAGTCTTGATCTGTTTATAAGCATTTGTTGGGTTTTTTTTTTTTTTTTTTTTTTTTTTTTTTTTTTTTTTTTTTTTATGGCTTTCTGAAAGCCCTCAAGGCAATATGCCTCGGAACTGATGTTGCCGGCAGAGGCGCCCACAGGAACCCTGTTACACGGAAAAAAAACTTCGTGCGCGTGGGACCCGAAGTTTAGGTCATATGGATCTCTGAAGTTTTTGGATTGAGCATCCAAACACTTAAGGTCCAGCTGCTGAAGTTTGGATCACACATCTGAAACTTCAGTTCTTACATCTGAAGTACTTCGGTTTTCACATCCGAACAACTTCGGTTCTCACATCCGAAAAACTTCGGTTCTCACATCTGAAGTACTTGAGATGCAAGAACTGAAGTTTCCGATGATTGATCCGAACCTCGACAGCTACACCTAAAGTGTTCAGATGCTCAATCCGAAAACTTCAGAGATCCATGTGACCTAAACTTCGGGTCCCACGCACGAGGTTTTTTTCTCTGTGTCGGGTTTGTGGATGCTGAATGTCCCCAATTTGCGTTAGGGGGGACAAATGACCCCTTCCTCCTACTTCCGCGCATGCAGGTCAACCCTAGGGGTCCAAATAGGCAGTCCTGCTGGCAGATGCTGGGGCATATCGCTACTGGGGATCTCAATATCAGTAATCAGGAAGACGGGCGCGAATTAAAAAGAGACAGAAAATTCAAACCCCTTGTCCTTTAACGAGTGGCACAACACCATTGCAGCAACAATTGCGGCTTAGCATATTGAAGGGGAATTCATAAAATTACCACATTTCTTCGCTTGGGCTTGGCTGACATAAGGACGTAACTACACTTGGCGATGAACCCTGTAGTCCGTATAACCAATGCTTCCCTTGGCTCATCTCTAATTTTAGTCATGCCCTTATGTCAGCCAAGCGACGATTTGTTCCTCTCGTTCCAGTTCGGGCAAGCCGAAAGACGAAATTCGCCCACTAACGTCAATCGCGAATCCATTGTTTAGATGTTTCATTTTGAAGTATGTTCTGATATTTCCTCCTCAAAATACAGTGTGATGATTTTCGTTCAATCAGTTGGACTATAATTTGCAATTCGAAACCGCAATTTCGGGCTCAGCTGTAAAAACACATTTGTGCCCAGGGAAATGACTGGTTTATACCCACGTTGCTTCTAATCTAAACTGATTGAGAGCCAGAAATCATGGTTCCAAATTCCAAATTGCAGTCCAGTCGTGACAGCAGGAACGATGCCGCGGCAGAAATCACGTGCGTAATATTGCCGTGCTAAGGAAAAACGCCGTATGAGCCTTCAGGCGTTGCCAAATTTCCCCTGGCCAATCACTGATTTTCAGGAAAATTTTTGAATGTATGCCTACCAATTTCTCAGATAATTTTGGAACGTCTGGAAATTTCAAGGAAAAATATTAATAATTTTCCTCAAAAGTAAACATTTTATTGAAGGAAATTTGGCAACTCTCAAATGTTCATACGGCGTTCTTCTTTAGCACGGCAGAATAAATGAGCTCTAATCTCCATCGCACCTCTATTAGGACCACATTTTGCAATAAGGAACCACTATTTCTGGTTCATTTTAGGAACAACGTACATGCCATTGGATTCCCTATGCAGAAAGATGATTTTATGGAAGAGCCTGAGATAGTAGTTCCTCATTGCAAAACGTAATTCATTTGTTTGTTAGCTCTCAAGTGGTCGAGACGAACATAAATAAATGAACTGTTATCGAATTGTCAACCCTCGTCCGATTTTGATAACGTCATCTCCATTTGATACTATCAGCATCAAATAACGAACTTAAGGATTGTTTCATTATTTTCGTTTCCAGTTCAAATTAGTTCAGTCGCATCAGCTTCTCCTCGTCTAATTGTAATCTCAATCGGCTTTTTGTGCTTCAAAAATTTAGCGTTCGAAAGTTTTTTCTCGGTGAATCGTGCTTCAGATTCTGGAGTGAAAGTTGAGATTATTCTCAATCTAATTTTTGCCTTTTAATAATTTACCTAACGTTTGATGGTTTTTTTCTTTTCATCTTGGTGAGTCACTTTTCAAATTCCAAAGGTTGAAAAGCAAATCGACGGCGTATGTCCGCAATCATATATCTCGTTTGCGGTGTCTGAAAATCTCCGCCTCTATGTTATTTTGTTAAAGGAGAACAAATTGACATCATTCCTTGAAGTTTTTGCAGAATTTTCTTCGCACAGAGAAGAAAAATCACGGCAGTTTTAAAAAATTGCTGAGCAGTTATCCTTTTAAAAAATGCAGTATGACAAGAAGTCTACGACGTCGCAAACCGAGTTATGTGATTGTCGACATAAGTACACCGTCGAAATTCCTATTCTGAAGTGAAAGTTTTAACTTTTCTTAGTCTGATTATAATCTCAATCGAATTATGTGCTTTAATAATTTAGCGTTAGACGGTTTTTTCCTTGCACCCTGGTGAGTCATTCTTCAGACTCTGCTAGTCGATAATCAAATTCAAATTCTGAAGTGAAAGTTTTAACTGATCTTCGTCTGTTCATGACTGAAAGGAAAGCTAGGTCGCGCGTTGAGGACGGCGCAGCGATACAACTATTAATGCTTGAAGGATGTCCGTGTTGCATCTGCAAAATTGAAGGCACCAGGCTCGAAGTGAACTCGCGAATCGTTCGTAAGATATTAACGAGCATCCATACTCTTCCACAACTCTGTAGAAGTCATATCCCGGACCTTCATTTCAACGCACCATCCTCCAAAAATACTTTTCTCGATCAACGATTTAATTCTTCTAATCAGTACTGTCGATCCACTGTTAAAATAACACCTATTACTGAACCGTGTCTTGCGAAAACCGCTCACGTCCATTTTTCCTCGCTTGAATTTCTTTGGGCTGATAATACTTTTCAAGTTAGATGCAATCACGAGAGTGGTGCCATTACTCATTTTAGAGCTATCGTAATCCCAAACCAGTCCTTGGGCCACTTTTGTCAGTGTATCGTCTTAACATGTATTCTTCACGAGCATAAATTGAAAGCTGGAAAAATGGTCCAAAGCGATTTCCTCAGGACATGATTCAATCGTAGAGCGTTGCAAAATACTCCCTTTCGGAAAAAAAATGGGGGGGGGGGGGGAAGGTTACAACCCTCAGCTCGACTCTTGTGAGTTGCCACCGACGCACAGTGGATCGAGTCAATGGGAGAGGTTAAACCTGTTTTAAAAACTTTAAAAGCGTATGAATGTGAATTGTTTAAAAGGTAGTTTCTTTGGTTTTCTCGTAAAATTTTCTACAAGTAGCCCTCCTCAAAATCCAAATTGTGACGGGACAGACGTACAATTTCACAATTTTTGTCAAAAATTTCATATCCGACTTATTATAATGACTCGATTCACTGTGCGCCGCACTGTAATCGTCAAGCAGTGCATTCGCCGCTTCTCAGACCCCCGTCTTGCCCGTTGCCACGCGCCAATATTACCGTTAAGAGTCCAATAAAACGCCAATTCTGCCGTCCTAAGGAAAAACGCCGGATGAACCTTCAGGTGTTGTCAAATTGCCTGTGATAAAACACGAATTTACTGGTAAACTAATGAATATTTTCCTTCCAATTTTTCAGATAAGTTTGTTCGCAATTTCATCGGAAAGTCCTGAAAATTTCAGGGAGAATATTCATAATTTTCCGTAAAAATAACCATTTTATCGAAGGAGATTTGGCAACTCTCGAATGTTCATACGGCGTTCCTCCTTAGTACGGCAGAATTATATACACGACGATTTCGTAAACGACTCGCAAGACGTTCGTTTTTTCTAATCTAATGCCCACCGCCAATCTTAGTCCTTACTTCTATTGAATATTCGTGCCTGTCGTTTTGTAATCACCGCTCCCAGTATGGTAGTCCGTCAGTCCTTCATTTTTCTGATAAGATAAATGCAGTAGACAATTTTGCTCCATGTTCCGTCTCAATCACGCTCAGTTTTACGATGCGAAGTGCGTCAGTCCATTCCTCCGATGGTCCTATAATTTCATCGTTTTCGCGCTTGCAACCGTGAGGTTCATAGCGATCGTCACCAAGTACTTTACCATGGCTTTACTGATCATCGAACTTTGGAAACATTTCTCTCAGCAAAAATTTATCGTCTCAACCAGGGAAACGCTAACGAGCTGCCGGGAAGATATGTTTTCGTGAATGAGGAATTTTTCACCTGTGTGTGTTTTTCCCTTTGCAGGGCATTTCCCTGGAAAGTCCTTCTAAGTTCGGTACGATATAAATCTTAAATCGGGAAAAAGCTTTGTCATCAATGACCGATTAATCCGTGGATTGCACCAAAATCAGTTTCCGTTCGATCATCGTTGGAATCCTCGATTTTTGGCTGAAAATGCATTAATCGGCTCAATAATTTTGTGTTAAGTGTTTGTGTGGAAAGCTGGGTGTCTACTTGTCCGGAAGTTCCGGAAATCGTACTGGTTTTTTAAGGGCGTTCCGAAAGTACTGGAAAAGTGCGGCATTTCTGCAAGAAGGTCTGGAATTTTTTCCTTCGTACCACGCGTGTTTTCAAATTTCGTCAAATGGATATACTGAAAAAGTGCTGAATATTTCTTCGAGGAGGTATTGAATTTCTCAGGAATGTACTAAAAAAGTACTTCAAAATCACTGATTTTTGGCCAGCCTGTTTTAGTAGACAATCTAGCCAAGTGGAGAGTGGAAATTCAAAATCTGGCAAGTGCCATCAGGTGTTGCTAAAATTGTGCATGTGGTTCCTCAGCGTTAGAGAGCCTATACGCCTCCCTTCATTAAATTTGTATGAGGAAATTTTCCCTAAATTTTGGTCTCATAGAAACTGTCGCTCAATCATAGCAATGCCTGGTGGCACTTGCCAGGTTTTGAATTTCTGCTTTTCTGATAAAATAGAAAAAATTCACGTCCCTTACTTTAGTGGGGCTTTCACCTGAAAATTTCAGCTTTGCATGGCTACCATTAAAAGATTCCCAGGTTTAAGCGTCACTTATTTATTTTTTCCATTGTATCGCCAGTAGCTTTAATCCAAAACTGGATTGTGAGTGACCATTACGGAGTTGTACGTACAATTGCGTAGTTGCACGAATGCACATGCCCTTTTACTGATGAGCCATTCACCTGTTCTCTCTAGTCCCTACCGTGTCAATTTTTTCTGATACCACTAACTCAACGTAGTGGTATGCAATATTGCCTACAAGGATATTTTAAGGCGTTTTTTTAGTAGCAATCGAGTGTCTTTTTCCCGATCCGCCACTCGCCTATTTTCTCTAGTCCTACCGTACCCGTTTCTTTCTGATATCACTAATTCAACGTAGTTGTATGCAATATTGCTTACGCGGCTATTTTAAGGCGTTTTCTCCCCAGTGGCAGTGTCGCATCTCTAACTTGCCCCGGTATACTCGAGTGTCTTTCTTGCGGGGCCTCTTGCACACGCCTCTGCTCCAGGTTGTGGGGCCTTCCTTTGGTTATAGGACAATTCCTCGTAACCCTTAACCGAAAATTTGTCGGTAAAAGGCATTTATATGACCTTAAAAATGGTCAGTTAGGCTATTGGACGTATTTATGCGAAATGGAACTGTAAGCTAGTGGAAAGATGGGGTGTGCTCGTTAGTGCTCGGGCCAAAAGAATGAATGGGACTTTAAAAGCGCCAGTGGCGTTAGCGGTGAGGACCGGGCGCGACAAGAGCGACGACGACTAGGTCGTCGGTCTCTAACTCATGAGCCCTGTCCACAACGCTCTTGTCACATTCCCACGGCTCACAAGTCAGCGCTCAGTTCCTTTTGATGAAATTGAAAATCCCGCTTTTCCATTTTCTCAAAAGGAACTATATCCACTTTTACATTGTTTCTTATCCAGCTTCCACGAGCACACCCCATATTTTCACTTCCACATAGTTCCCTCCAGCATAAATATGTCCAAAGCGTTTGGTTAGGTTAGATTAGTTTTCTAATAATTTTTAAATCCAATCGGACGTATTCCTATCAAGCGGAACTATGTGCATTATGACGTGAGCCCTGTTATGCATGTATTCTTATGGGTCTCAGGGCCCATGTCTTAATGCACATAGTTCCGTTTGATAGAAATACGTCCGATTGTTCCACAACCATTGTCGCTTAGGATTGTGCGTGTGAGCCATAGAGTACATAGAGTCGTAATGTAAATGAAAGGGCTGGCGCCATGTTCTGCTCGACGAATTCCGAGCCCGGTGTGCGTAGAGTTCGGGTCGCTTTTTCGATACATTTTCGATCCAAAATGGCGGTGTGGAATACATGGTAATTCCTATCTCCGTTGTTGTTGTTGTTGTTGTTGTTGTTGTTGTTGTTGTTATCGGATGGCCGGGTACCCGTGTATCGCAAACAATCGATTATGTATCGAAAAAGTGACCCGGCGTCACACAGGAGTCTCGGAATTCGGGACATGGAAAATGCTTAAAAGTGGCGCCAGCTCTCCGAATTACATTACGACTTTATGTACTCTATGGTGTGAGCGCCCCCAGATGGGATCTCTGGATTAAAAGCGATGGGTCATCTGTTGCAGGTGACCCGGGCGGATCAGCGTGGAAAATGTGGGTGCGTCCTTTAGCCCGACGACTCCTCCCGAAACTCCAGGACGACCCTCTTTGCCGTCTGGTGAGCCAGGAGAAGAGGGACTCGCCGTTGGCGGGGGTGCGAGTCCTGGACCTGACGCGGATCATCGCCGGGCCGTACTGCTCCATGATCCTGGGCGACCTCGGCGCGGAGGTCATCAAGATCGAGGAGGTGCGCGGGGGGGACGAGGCCCGGAAGTGGGGCGCCCCCGTCCCTTCCGCCCCCGGACTCACCTGCTACTTCTCCGCGGTGAACCGCAACAAGAAAAGCGTCTGCGTCAACTTCAAGACTCCCCAGGGACAGGAGCTCCTACACGACCTCGCCAGGGAGTCCGATGTCCTTATAGAGAATTACACCCCCGGTGTCCTTGACAGGTGAGCATTCTGCGTTTCTATTGGTTTTTAGCCGTGCTGGCGAAGCGGCAAAGTTGGGCGGCGCTCAGTAGATCGAGTCAATCGGAGGGATCGCACATGAAATTTCTTACTAAAAATAAAATAGGAGTAGAGATTTTGAGACACCGCGATTGAGGTATGTGGTTTCGCCCCAGGGTGTCTAGCTTAAGGATTTTCCCGATTCTATCAGGATTTTAGGTCAATTAGGATTTAATCCCGATTTCATCAGGATTCGAGGAAAAATCGGTCATAAAATCAGAATTTGAGAAAAGTTGGCCGTCCGATCAGATTTTTTTATCGAGCTTTTTTTGTGAAGTGAAGTTTCTCCGCCAAAATTCAGGATTTGGAAAAATTATGAAATAAAAAAATCTAAACACCCTGCGCACTTTAGCCATCGAAATGAAACCCCACAAATTTATGACATCCGAAAATTATCTTCTGTCCAGGTACCGGCTCGGCTACGATCAGATCCGCGAGATAGCGCCGCGTGTGGTCTACTGCTCCGTCACAGGCTACGGCTCGAGGGGTCCGTACAAGAACAAGCCTGGCTACGACGTGATAGCGGCCTCTTTGGGCGGCCTCCTCCACATCACTGGGCCCGAAGACGGGGCGCCCTGCAAGGTGGGCGTCCCTGTGACCGATATGATGACCGGCCTCTACGCTCACGGAGCCATCTTGGCCGCTCTACTCCACAGGCAGAAAACTGGCCAAGGGCAGAAGGTCGAGTGCGATCTCTTGTCAACCCAGCTTTCGTCCCTCATCAACGTCGCCTCAAACTATCTCAACGCTGGCATGCATGCCAAGAGGTAATTTTCAACAGTTATAATAGCAGGGGGCTGATTATTGTACTTTATAGCTGAAGTACGAGACAAAGAAGATGACGGGAAAATGGAGTGATCCTATTGCAGGGTTGTTGGCGATCTGGAAAACATGGAAAGTAAGGGTATTTTGCAAGCAGCATTTAGCAGAAGCCATTTTAATTTAAAGAAAAAAAATCAGTGAAAGTTTCATTTGAACAGCAGCCTTATGCTGTTTATACTTTCTTAAGGAAAAACGCCGTATAAGCCTTCAGAGTCGCCAAATTTCCTTTAACAAATTAAAAATTCCCGGGAAAATTTGTAAATATTTTTCTTCCAATTTTTCTAAGAATACCGTTCGTACTTTGATCTGACATCTGAAGTGCCTGTGAAAACAAAATGATTTTTACTACTCTCTTCAAAAATTAATCTCTTCTGAGAGGAAATTTGGCAACTCTCGAATGCTCATATGACGTTTTTCCTTAGCACAGCAACATAGTTAGCAAGCGTGCAGGATGTGCTGGCTGGACGGAATACACTCGAGCAGGCGCAGTATAGGCAATTCGCACATCAAACGGATGCGTGAAGGTGTAACGTTGGAAGTATTCCAACGACGTTGAAGGCGTCATATGTGCCGCGCGCGCGCCTGTCATTGCCCGCGATAATTCTAACTCGTGGCGTCGCGTCGGTGTATCAAAATTTTGCTGAAGGCTCAGCAAAATTTTCGATGATGAAAAATTATAAATTACTACCCGCATTCTGTTTTTTTTTTTTTTTTTTTTTTTTTTTAAACTGTAACTGCGCCTATTTTTTTCTTTTTCTTATTACTTACTTCCTCGTGTTTTACTTTGACCGCGCTGGTCTAGTCATGATTACTTCAACCGCGGCAATTTTTCTGCAGAAATACTATGCTGTGTAATAATGCGCAGGAACAAATTTATGGTTTGCCTGTAGAAGGGTACACTGAAAAACTTTCAGCACTCTTTCTAAAGTCAGCGTATTTAGAAGGGGGAGGGGGGGATTAAAAGTTAAGTTCTTTATGTTAGATTTAACCCCTTAGTCTGTGAGAACCACCAATTTCAAGCAATAGGATTGTTACATACTATTTTTGTCCTCTTTGTCTATGGCTTTGTCTATCAATTTCAACAATTAGCCCGCTGGCTCAGTTTAGAAACAGCGTACGCACCGTTTGTTTTCTTTTGCACATATCGACGGTGCAAGTCGGCAATCACATAACTCGGTTTGCGACGTCGCAGACTTCCTATCATACTTTATTTGTTAAACGGAAAACTACTCAACGGCCATTCTTTAAAACTGCCATGATTTTTCTTCTCTGTGCGGAGAAAATTCTGCAAAAACCTCAAGGAATGATGTCAATTTGTTCTCCTTAAAAAAAATAATATACAAGCGGAGATTTTCAGACACCGCAAACGAGTTATGTGATTGCCGACTTGCACCGTCGATATGTGTTTTCACGAATGACCCAGAGATTGTAGTTTCTAATAGCAGAATGTAGTCCAACTAACCTACCCGTCTTGTGTTTCCAGAGACAAGAGACCCTCCACTAGTATCTTGGCCATGGTGGAAGCTTTTACTTTCGGGACTGCAGCATTCTACTGTTGACTTACCTACATGGTTGATGTTGAACAACGTGTTGGCAGTTTCGTTTTGCAAACAAGCCGAAAATGGCCGACGTTTGGGAAAGTTGTTTGGCTCATGACGTCATCCGAAGCTCATCATCGACCATGTAGGTAAGTCAACAGCCGAAACTAGGGTGATGACTGTTGCTCCCTAATAATTGTCCATAAGGAATTGTTGAAACCCCGAAAGTAAAAGCTTCCACCTGTCGCTAGGAGACCAGTGGAGGGTCTCTTGTCTCTGTGTGTTTGCGACGCAACCATTTTTTCTGTGTAAATCAAGAAATCCTTGCGATTGTTCCAGGTGGGGCACCGCGCACGTGGACGTGGTGCCTTACGAGGTGTTCGAAACGAAAGACGGTCACCTGACGCTGGGCACGGGGTCGGACAAGCAGTTCGCGCGGCTGTGCGAGCTCATGGAACTGCGGGAAATGGTGGAGGACGAGCGGTTCAAGACGAACGCCGACCGAGTGGCCAACCGCAAGGTCCTCATCCCCGTGCTCAAGGAGCGGCTCCGCACCAAGACCACCGCCTCCTGGTTGGAGATCTTTCGCGACGCTCCGTTCCCGCACGCACCGGTCAACACCATCCAACAGGTACGTCGCCGTCCATTCTTGTCATCAGTATAAAAAAAATTGATCAAAATCGATCGCTTAGCAATCGAAATACAGCGCAATGAAGGGTCGCGTCGGCCATCTGGGGCGCTGAAGCGGGTCCCGCGGCGCGCAATACGTGGTAGTGGTAGTGACATCCTTGGTTCCTTCCACCTTGTTTTCATCCAAGTTTTACGTTAAGTAACCAGTACGTCACTGGCTGATGAAAGCAAGGTGGAAGAAACCGCGGGTGTCACTACCGCGGTGGATGCCGTCGGAAACCCGACTTTTCAAAGGGCGATATCTCGGTTAATATTGAACGTAGGGAGTTGCGGTTTGGACAGACCTTATTATTTGTAGCTAATCTGTAAGAATTAAGCACGAAAACGCGGATCTGTGAGCAGCGCAACTGACGTATTCTAGACACCATGGTTTACTTTTGAAAGGGAACACTCGCCGATAAAGGGGAGCATGAATTCTAGGCCCGGATTTTGAAAAGATTAAGGTGAATCCAGGGTCCGATTAGGGATAATTCAAGATTAGAGATAGCGCCACCAGTCGCCATTGAGAATTTCACTTTCCTTCGACGATCACTGAAATAATGTTCCTCGAACTACAAAAAGCAGATCCACAAGATATAGATTAATTCTTGCTTGATTTTTTGAGCCAAAAATATTGGCAATTAGAATTACAAGCGCAGAGAAAGTACGGCTGAAACTTTCAGCTCAGAGGCGGCGGCCGAGCGCGCAACGGCATCCCTCATGTTGTGTCTCTCTCTCTCTCCCATTGCCGCAATGGGAATTACTTTCCGCCGTAGTTAAGACTTTATTTTTGGGAATTTTGAGAAGATTTTTTTACTGAGTGTTCTTTAAGTACGTTGCCATATCCCCTGGATCTCCAATCTTGAACAAGTATTACGGTTTTTATTATTTTGGCAAATGTAGGCGGCTATTCTGAGCAGCGCGACGTGGTGGCCAAATCGCGAAGTTCCAAGCCTGGATTCACCTTAAATGACGACGGTTGATGGCTGTTTGTCCGTAGGTGTTCGACGACCCGCACGTGAGGGAGATCGGGATCGTGGAGGAGGTGGAAAGCGCGAACGGTGGGAGGTTGAAAGTGGTCGGGCCCGCGGTCCAGTACAGCGCGGCCAGCAACCAGGTCCGCTCGTCGCCCCCGCTCCTCGGCCAGCACACGCACCAAGTCCTCCAATCCATCCTCCGACTCACCGACCAACAGATCCAGGCCCTCCGAGACGGTGCACACATCCGATGAGCAGGTCTCCTGCACCACATTTTCCAGTTAGGAACAGAGACAAGAGACCCTCCACTGGCCTCCTGGCGACAGGTGGAAGCTTTTACTTTCGGGGTTTCAACAGTTCCTTATGGATAATTACTAGGGAGCAACAGTCATCACCCTAATTTCGGCTGTTGACCTACCCACATGGTGGATGATGAGCTTCGGGTGACGTCATGAGCCAAACAAGTTTCCCAAACTTCGGCCATTTTCAGCTTGTTTGCAAAACAAAACTGCCAACACGTTGTTAAACATCAACCATGTAGGTAAGTCAACTGTAGAATGCTGAAGTCCCGAAAGTAAAAGCTTCCACCATGGCCAAGATACTAGTGGATGATCTCTTGTCTCTGCCTGGACCACATTTTACAGTTAGGAACTATCATTTCTGGTTCATCCATAAAAGCACCTATCTGCATAGGGAAACCAACGACATGTATGTTGTTTCTATGATGAGCTAAAAATAGTGGATCCTTATCACAATATGTAGTCCATCTGCAGGCTGATAATTGGAACGGGTAGACGAAACGGTAGACAAATCGTCGTTCCCCGGGCGAAGGAACGTTACTCCTTGCATGGTTGCAAAATCGACCCAAACAATTTTATTTTTCACAAGAATGTGCACTGTGCAGAGGCCGGTCCAACAATTAGACAACCCTGGTTCTTCTCAATTTAAATCTGTGTTGAATAATCGATTCTATGGAGGAAAGCCAATGTCGCCAATTTGCTGGATCCAGCTCTTCCAACTATCTTCCAATTTTTTCTTGTGCAGTTTTGTTGTTAGGCAAAATGATTCTACGGATCTGGGTGTTACCTTGGAAATTTTAAAAGCACCTAGTGCAGAAAAAAAAATCGCTGGATCCGCCAATGAGAATGTGCCTTTGCAATTTTTTTCTAAAAATTGTCTGATTTTTACATGAGATTAGAAGGAGAATCGGTGAAATTTTCTGGCCTAAGTTTCTCCTGATAAAACGCTCTCTGCGAGGGGAATTTGGCAACATTGCAATGCAGTTTCGTTCTTTCGTAAGGAACTCGACGAAATGGTACAAAGGGAAAATGAGGCGATTCGAATGGTTGAGGCGGGTGGTTGTCATGGGCTGAGGAGGAAAATGATGGAGTATAGCCATAGAGTCTCTCGTGGATTCCCGTTAGTTCGTCTATTAGTTACCTCTTTCATCCATCGCAACCATCCGTTTCCACCAATTGGATCGCTCAGTTTTCTCTCCGTCTCCTTTGTCTATCGCCTTGTCTATCAATTTCAATAATCAGCCCGCTGCTGGTAGAGTATTCTGAACTAAAGGACCCTCTCCACTTTCAAACCAGAGACCTCGAAGGGACCAATTCCCCTGGTGGTGGTTATCGTAAGTTGGCAACATTAAATTTGAACCCACTCTGGGGGGTCACCTCAAAAATTCCAAAAGCTTTGGACCGTGCGAGGAAGAACGTCGTATGAGCATTCGAGAGTTGCCAAATTTCCTTCAATTAAATATTTATTTTTGAGGAAAGTTATGAATATTTTTCCTTGAAATTTGCAGGGACTTTGAGTGAGATTGTGAACAAAATCTGAAAATTTGGAAGGAAAATATTCATAAGTTTACCAGGAAATTTGCGTATTATCAAGGGAAATTTGGCAACGCCTGAAGGTTCATACGGCGTTTTTCCTTAGCACGGTAGCGTGGTTGCTTCCTCCAATTATTTTTTTAAACACGGTCCCTCAACCCCTTTCCGTAAGGACTGAAGATCACGAGAAGACGTGTCTGTAATTCATTCTGAATTTTAATGCTGCCAAATCTCAGGTGTAAACGTTTACACTATGCCAGATTTCGTCGTAAATCGATGGCTAGGGAACCACACCGCCTACCTACCAACTGACGATTTTACAAAGCGAAGAAAAACCTCGGTCATTTTTTGTAATTTTGAGGTTGTGTTTGGTATTTTTTTATACATTATAGCGCTTTCATGCGAAATTGGAAAAACTAATAAAAGCACCAGCTTGCGTCTTTTATACTGTAAAACGCGGCAAAGCAAACTCATTTTCGCCATAATTGTATGTTAGACGGTATTGCTCGTTAGCCATCAAAATGTGATTATTTACTCTATTAAGTTTATTCTTGTATTATTTTATGGCTGTTAACAGAAGTTGGTACAATAAGATTTATTTTTATACGGCAAGTCTTCATCTCTTTTTATTCCGAGCGCACTTCACACGTCGAAAATTGGTGCCGAAAGTGAGGTTGTATGGTCGTATCTCAACAGTCGTTTTTTTCGTAAATTTCAACTTTTATATCCGAATTTGCCCTCAAATTATTGGAACGGTTCGTGAAAACTGATTACTGTTGAGTTCCGACTTATCAACGGTTGCTGAAAAATTGCGCGGACCGCACAAATTTCGCGGAATCTTGCGGCAACAATCATCGATGCGTAGGTGACCTCCATTTCCAGCTCCTATTTTCGGCGTGTGAAGTGCGCTCTGTTCACACAAGCTTCATGAACATTGTCCCGTTTCATCTTGCGCCCGGTCAACAGGTTCTACACTGACCTATCAGCCGCTTCCATTTTTAGTAGTACTATGACGGTCAAAAACCATGTGTGTGCGTCGACAATATTAGAAAATCATAGTTTTTGACCGTTCTGATGGTTTTGATCAATAGGGAGCATCCTGCCTTTGGAGGGGTCCCTCGTACCTTACGCCATTTTTCGACTGAAGAAGTTATTTAAATGTTGAAATGACGTTTGAAGAGCAAATTTGGTAGAATCGCTCGGTATTAACATGCGTCTACACTCGAGGAATAATTCCGTCAAAAACTCAGTTTCTGAAAATACGGCGATCACGCTTTTCTTCAAATGGACTACATTTTACAATTAGGAACTACACTTTTTGACTCATTCGTAAAAGCGCTTACCTACATAGGAAAACTAATAGCAATTACGTTGTTTCTGAAGTGCGCTGGAAATTGTTGTTCCTACCTGCAAAATATAGTTCAAACAGCCCGTTTAAAGCTGAAATTTCATTGAACTTGCGCTGGGTCAGTTGCTCCTGTCACAGAATCGTGTTTTGGTGATTTACGATCACAGATCAGCGAAAAATAATGGGACTCGACCAAATACCGATTCACCATGACCAGTAGATACCTCCCTTTAAATTACACGGCGCAAGACGTCATACACCGCAGCGATGCATCCCATGATTTCTGCCAGCCCGTTTCACCCTTATTTTGAGCGGGGCGAAGCAATCAGAGACAATTTTTTTATCACTAATTTTTTATCCCAAGGAGGAAGATACCGTACTACCTTTGCTCTACGGTGGTGGATGACCCATGGGTTGCTAGGGGTCTGGGAAACCGGGAAAGTCAGGGATTTCGTGGGGAAAGTTAGGGAATTGGTGGGGGAAGTCAGGGAGTCCTTTACACGTTTACCAATCACTAAAACATTTATATCTGATCTCCCAGCTGTTTACTGTTTTGGGTTATTCTTAAAGCCTGTCATTTTTTAACCGGCCACTGAATGCCCTCCTCCATAATGTGATCTCTGAACAAGGAGATTGTGTCCGAAATGTAGTGAAAGTCAGCGGATTTCTTATTTTTTTAAAAAAATAAAATAAATAAATAAATAAATAAATAAATAAAAGGCGATAATTTCGGTGGTCGGAAAAGTCAGGGAATTTGAGGATGAAGAAATTATGGCAACCCTGATGACGTCATAAACAGCTTTTTTAAGGACGTTATCGTCGTTGATATCTTACGTAAAAAGTAGGCGTCAGGACAGATTGTATTGTTTTTTTTTCTTCTTTTTTTTCTAATACTCTGTAAGCTTAAACTATGAAAACGCGATTCCATGACCAGAGTGCAAGTGTCCCATTTCGTGGACGCGTCTCCGGGCGGCTGAGCGGCGAACTCAGGGGTCCTCCCGAAATGTATTTTTCCCGGTGCTAATGAGGGGCGTCCCGGATGACGTAAGGCGGCGAGAAGAGGAGAACGGAAAAAAATGAGGAGGAAGAGCCGGGGGCCCGGGTTTTTGTGACATTCGGGTCGGAGCGCACGGGACGCCGCGGCGCACAGTGGAGCGAGTCAATTAGAGAGGTCGGACATGAAATTTTCGACTAAAATTGCAAATTTTGATGTTTATTTCGTCACATTTTCAACTTCAATGGGTGCAGCTAGAAGGAAATTTCACGAGGAAACCAATGGAACCGCTTTTAGAACCTCAAAGATGTGTATAAACGGAGTTATGAGCGTTTAAAGTCTCCAAATTCTGTCCGACCTCTCCTACTGACTGGATCCACCGTGCGGCGGGACATGCGTCATTTTTACCTATCCGCGGGTATATTATTAGCACTTACTCGGAAAGCCCGATGTAAACATTAGCGCTATGACAGTGGCGCGCTTGTGTCTTGTGTCGTTTGACGGGATCCCAGTGGCGGCGCTTCCACGATGCCTTTTCCCGAGTTATAATTAGAGGGCGGCCATTCATTTGGCTTTACCTGAAATCCCGATACACGCGGATCGCGGTTTCGCGCTCGTTACCCGGCTCGCTTTCCCGCCGAGAATCGGATATCCGTCGTCGCACACGCTCCCTTCCTCGCCCTTTTCCTTCTTTCGATTTCCGCCGGACTCGATTATCCGCGAACGCCCCCACCCAGATTTCTCTTCTTTCCCGCGATTGTGAACGCTCTCAACTCAAGTGTGAAAGACAACAAATCCAAGTTTTTTCCTATCTTCGTTTTATTTAATTTTATTTTTATGTATTTATTTAATTTTTTTTTGCTAGTTACCTGCCTACACCAGAATTCGTCCTCTGAGCGTGTTTTGTAAACTCGTCCTCTAATCTAGGTAAATTTCACACATAATTTTCAGAGTTTATCTTTCAAAGCGTGCTCTCTCTCGTTCGTGCGGCCTTGAAAAGTGTTTCTAAAGTTTAAAAACCGCGCTGGATCTTAAGTTTTCTGGTTCATTTATTTTATTTTATGTAATTTTATTTTCATTTATTTATTTACTTTTTTTCGTTCGTTACCTGTCTACATCGCAATTCGTCCTTTGATCTTGTTTGTAGTTGCGTCCTCAAATCTAGGTAAATCTCACACCAAATTATCATAGTTTACCTTTCGAAGCGTGCTCCCTCTTGTTCGTGCGGCCTTGAAAAGTGTTTCAAAAGTTTAGGGACGAGATTTTGACAAGACGTTGCAGCCATGCTGCTGTGCTAAGGAAAAACGCCGTTTAAGCCACCAGACGCTGCCAAATTTCTCGCGATAAAATTAGAATTTTCTTGAAGACTTGAGATTTTTTTCTTCCAATCTTTTAGAGAATGTTGTCCTCGGTTCTATCTGAGGTATCTGAAAATTTCAACAAAAAATATTCCTAGCTTTGCTCAGGAATGCATATTTAATTTGGGGCAATTTGGCAACGTGTGAATGTTCATACGGCGTTTTTCCTCAGCACGGCAGCGTGTTACCGCGCTTAGGAAAAACGCGTATGAGCATTCGCATGTTGCCAATCTATTTTCAGAAAATGTTTATTTTTAGAAAAGTTGCGAATTTTGTTTTTATTAAAATAGTCAGACACTTTAGATGAAATTGCGGACAAAACTGTATGAAACTTTCAAAGAAAAATATCAAAATTTTTCCCAGAAATTCGAGTTTTGCCCAGGGAAGTTTGGCAATGTCTGAAAGCTCATACGGCGTTTTTTTTAAACGGCATTATGGCTTTTATCATCCTGTTAATGTGACAGGTATTGTGATAAAGGACCATTATATTAGGATCTTACAAGGACCTTTTCCTTAAAGGAGAAAATTTTCCTTAAATTTTTGCAAATGCATAGAGAGAGAAATGGACTACATTTTGCAATTTGGAACTTTAAATTCTGGATCTTCTGGATAAATAGTTATGTGCATAGGGGAACGAATGGCGCATACGTTGTTTTTAAACCGGGCTAGAATTTATAGTTCCAAATTGCAAAATGTAGTCCAAATCATGGATATTTTGGCGCAAATTTGACCGTAAAATTTCAAGTATTAAAGGAAATATTATATTCCTTACGTCCAATATTAAAAGTCTTGGGTTACAGAAAAACGTGGTTTAAGTTTTGGCAAAATATTGAGCAAAATGTTCTCCTCGAAGATTAGGTCTCTTTTCACAGATCCAGTCACAAATTAATAGCCTAAGTGCGAAACCACGTACCTCCGTGTGCGACGTCGCAGACTTCCTGTCATACTTTATTTTTTCTTTAAAAAACTTGTCAACGTAATTTCTCGAAAACTCTATTGATTTTTCTTCTCTATCAGTAGAATATTCTTTATAAATTTCAAGCTTTAAAGTTGACTTGCTATTCCTCAAAAAAGTAAAGTAGGAGTCGAAATTTTGACAAACCTAAATGAAGATACGTGGTGTCACAAATGAAATGGTTTCATAATCGTGGCCGTCGAAATACAGTGATACTCATTTTGAAAGGAAAAAACTTTTATTCTTATGATGCTAAATTTCCCATCTAGAGTTTAGTTCTGTAAGAGTTTTATCTTTTCGAAATGAGTATATCTGTTTTTACAAAATAAGCTTAAGGGTTGTGACGTCATGTCAAAATCTTGTCTCTATAAACTAGTTGTTAGAGATGCTTTATACTCAACTCTCGTTCATTGTTCAGTGTGCTTGATTTTGAACTTTCTTCTCGTTATCAAAAATTACAAGTTTGCCCAAAAAATTCCGGGTACATAAACCGATAAGTTCAGTAAGCACTGCACGAAACATGATTTGTGACTGAATTTTTTCGGTTCGATGCACTACGATTTCGGCTCACCGTGAACCAAACTGTGGTTCTATCAACCGAAGAGGTCGGTTCCTTCGACCGAGGGCTCATTGAACAACATTCTGAAATTGGAACTACGATTTCTGGCTCATTCGTAAAAACACATTTGTTTACAGTGAAAGTAATGGTACGTACGTTTTTTCTTAACTGAGCCAGAAATTTTAGCTCCTAATTCTGCCGTGCTAAGCAAGAACACCGTAAATCCATCAAGATTTTTCCTTCGTTTTTTGGAACTTAACACTTTATAAAATAAAAACCGTTTTACCCATTCACCTCTAATTCTCAGGTTAAGTTTTTGATATTATTTGCGAAAGAAATCTGTAAAAACATTGTCCCAAGCAGTGTTCGAAACTCACCTTTGAGTTTTAGGAGCCATGTGGCGCATTAAGCCCGATTTTTAGGCGTCATTCAAGATGTTGTAGGAGCCAAATTGACTTTTTACCTATATATTACGGCGCATTTAGTGAAAAGCTAGACGCAAGATGTTTTCGTAACAGAATTAGTAAGTAGCTGTAAATTGGGGAAGACAAAAGCACTTAGAATGAAATCGTGAAGAATAGAAAAAACAAGCTTTCACTTGTAGTGCTGAAAAATCCAAGTTTTTTTAATTCAAATAGATTTGTTATTCTTTCTTTATGTGACTTCCTACGAAAATCCAGATTTTCAGGGGGCAATTTTCAGGGGCCACGTTGGCGCAGAACTTTCATTTTTTAGGCGTCATGGCCAATTTTTTAGGCGCATTTGGTGCGTTGGCGCCTGTGAGTTTCGAACACTGGTCCCAAGCTACACAAATGTTTCTGCTATGATACATTGTTTCCAATAAATGTAAAATGGCGTTTACGGCGTTTTTGCGTCGCACGGCAGAGTTGCAAAATGCAGTTTAAACGGAAGAACGCGAGCGCCCACTAAACTTATCCGCGGTTTGGATAACCGCGCGAGGTTGCTTTTTTTTCGCACGGAGGAAAAATGAAACATCATCAATCATCCTCAGAGGCACTGAAAGATCTTTAACGATCATCATAATTCATCAAGGCAATATGTGGGGCAGTGACGACGGGGTCTGTTGATATTTCTTCATCGCGAATATTCGCGTGTCAGAATTAGCGAGTTCGAACAAGCCCGATGTCTCGGCAAAATCTCACGGCCCCACTCTTTTTAAGCATCCAGCTAAAAAGAAAAAGAAAATCTTATGTTTCAAAATTGCCTCACTTTGCTGTTAGATCGAGCATTTCTGCATTTCTGTAACTTCAGCTGGGGGAGTGCGACTTAACGTGTACGTTTTGATAAGAGAGAAATGTGTCAAGTTCTTTTAAATAAGTCGGAAAAGCTGAAAATTTTTAACGGAAATTTTTGAACCCTTCGAATTTTTCAGAATTTTATTTTGCATTGCATTGCGTTGCACGAACGGCTTTTAAACTTGAAATGCATGGAATTTTCATTTCACTACGATCCTACGCAATCCGATCACTTAAGAATTCTGCTTGCATTCTTCACGTTTTATCATTCATATGTATGCGGTATGTGAGAACAGAATTTCGGCCGTCGTCATGCATATACATTTCCTCAAAAATAAATATTTGATCGGGAAAGATATCGCAACGTGTAAAGGCCCATACGTTGTTTTTCCTTAGCGCGGCAGTACTATCGTGTTAGGTCTTACCATCTATCATCTTTCACCCCCCCGTAGTCCTACTGTATAGACCTGGATTCATAATCCCGATGAAGACACTCCAACAGGAACAAGAGAGCGAAAAATTTTAGGGAAAAATCAGGGAATCTGTTCCAAGAACCGCAAATCTCTTTTCTGTCGCATCGAGACCATTTTAAAGTTGATTTTATTCCGTCTGAGCCGCCATCATCGACCCTCAAATCTTCAATTCGTCAGAATAATAGAGAAGATTTCATTGACGAGATAATTTTTTTTTTTTTTTTTTTTAGATTTTTATTTTGTAAACTTCCAAAGGAATTATATACAATATCTTTACAATGTAATAAATCAGTATACAAGAGACAACAGAGTAGTTTCTTAATTCTTGAAAGAAAAGAACGAAATAATTTAAACATCGAAAACGCTTCTGAAATTGGAAAATCTAATCTTCGCCAAAGGATCGGTTGATTGGTGAAAAAAAAGAAGAAGAAAAAAAAAAAATAGATTTTCATGTCTGGAATCCCAGAGAATTATGTCGTTTTTCTCGAGAAAATCCTAGAGAAGTGGAAGAAAACTTTGATTTCTCATCAGAAAAAAAAATCCGCTTGGAAAATCCGGGAATGAGCGTGGTAAAAAATTCTTGACATCATGGTCTCAGAGCGGTAGAACTTCCTGCTTGTTTTCCCCTTTCTCGGAGACCATTATCGTTAGAAGAAAAGCGCATCGGCGCACAGTGGATCGAGTGAATGAGAGAAGTCGGACACAATTTGGAAACTTTAAAAGCTTATAACTCCGTTCATACGAAATTTTGAGGTCTTAAAAGTGAATCCATCGGTTTCCTCTTGAAATTTTCTTTCAGCAACACCCTATTAAATTTTAAATGTGACGAATTAAACATCAACATTTGCAGTTTTGGCTATTAATTTCATGTCCTGCCTTTCTGATCGACTCGATCCACTGAGCGGCGTTGAAACGAGCGTGCTCTCAGTTTTCCGTCAAGCTATAAGTGTTAAAATGTAGCTCGTATGAGTCGCCGAGAAATAAGGAGTCGCTTTACCCCGCTCATCGCCAAGCATGCCGACATTCGGCGAGCTGCCTCCATTCTACCCCGAGAAAATAGGCGGATCTCAAGGCGATGACAGCATAAAAATCGACGTATCTCTCCGATGCGTGGGCAGAAATGCATGCGTGCAAGAGTCATGTTCCGCGTGCGGCTTTTCTTTGTAGCAAACGCGATGCGACGCACGGTGGATCGAGTCAGTAAGAAAAGTCGGACAAAATCTGGAAACTTTGAAAGCTTATATTTTCCAAAATATGAAACAAAAAGCGTTCTAGAGTGATTCCATTGGTTTCTTCGTGAAATTTTCTTGCAGAAACACCCTTTGGAATTGAATTTTTGACGAAATCAATATAAAACTTGGAAATCTTGGTCAAAAATTTCATGTGCGACCTCTCTAATTGACTCGATCCAGTGTGCGACGGCCCCGGTTCGACTCGCAACACTCATCGACGGCGAAACCGCGAAAACGCAGATCTCGGTTTTGAAGGTTTCGATAGACGATCAAATTCCCGAACCAATTACCATCAAAGTGTCGGGAGTCATCAGTCTTAAGCTCATTAATTTGCTTAATTTTAAAATGAAAACTCGGCAGAAGTGTTACCTATGGCAGGAAATGATGAGTGGTGGCAACCCATTCTGATCTTACTTTGAACAAAATAGTGCGGCCCGTCAAAATTTGATGGTGGATGGTGACCATCAGTCATCAGCATGTCTACTTTGATCGGAATTGGTTCGGAATTTGATCGTGTATCCAGGGCTGTACAAAGAGGAGTCTTCAAAGAGGCCCATCGATGGCTTTCCCGGCTCTCCCATTGGCCAGCGGTGGAAGTCGGGGTAACCGATGAGTCTCTTTGAAGCGTTAGGTTTGCACGTGAGCTGGACGCTTTTGCGACGCTGCAGACTTCCGGTCCTAATTGAATGGGTTATTCGAGGAACGGTGTAACTGCCAAAAGTCGAGTCCCGAGAAACGTGAAACGACTTGATTTCCACGACGATTTTTTCATATTTCCGTTCAAAAAAATTGGACGTGTTTCTACCAGGCCTCTCGCATTGAGGATGGGAGTCATTAATGTGTTTGTTGAGAGGTTCTAAAAAAGTTGCGGGGTACCTCGCTATTTTCGTAATCGACGAGATCCGGACGCTGTAATTGTTAGCATGTTCTCAATATCCCCATCAAAAAACGCGCCTCTTGTGGTCTAGGGGGGAAGGGTTCTCCCCTCCCTGGGGATTCGCGTCAATCCTTCCAGCGCGCCCACTACCGCGGGAAAAGCGTGCATTTTCCGGAGGGCGAGGTCTATTTACCGAGGCACTCGACCTTCTTTCTCCACCCAAACTTTACGCCTTGATATTCACGAACGACCATACCGATTGCGCCCACAGTCGATACTGGTCTAGTCGTAGTTATCTACGACAATGATTAATTTAATAATGAACCGCATACCATAACAATTTCAGCCCAATCGGCTCAAATCCACTCGAATTATTGGATGGTCAAGATATTTGACCTCCTCCCACTTTGCGCCTAACCCCCCCCCCCCCCCACCCAAAATTTGCGACTCCCATCTCAGATTCGTTTTTATCAGGAGGCAGTTCGGAGAAAAATGTCAAAATCTAACGAGATTTTCCATACTGGAAACCAAGTCTCTCGGATTCCGAGTCAAGACTCTTGAACAATTAGACAAGAAAAACTACTCTTGATTCAATCGGATTTTTGCTTGAATCAAAGGAAATCTGCTTAAATGAAGGGGCTTGGCTCTGGATTCAAACACAAATCTGATTGAATGAAGAGTATTTTTTCTTGTCAAATTTTTGAAGAGTCTGGATTCTGGATCCAAGAGACTTCTTCTCCAATGTACCTAATCGATGCGATATTTCAGATTTTATAATAATCAGAATAGTAGATTATCTTTTTTTCTTGTCTGTGTTCTTCAATCAAAGAACTCACCAATATTTGTCTTTATAAAATTATAAAAATCCGAGTAGTTTTGTTCATTTTGCTTTTTTCCTTGATTTAATTTATTGATATCTTGGGCTTAATGGAGATGTTGCATGTGTGAGGGATTTGCGATTTGACTGCTGTTTCTTATGTAAAAGTTCGCGAGAAACACGATGGTCTAACTGGTTTTCTCTGAAATCAACTCCTAAAGCTCAAAAGAAGCTCTCAAAGTGAGACCAAAATGGAGGGGATATCCCACCCTACCCTGAGAGTCCACCTCTACATCAAAACAAACTCTCCGTGCAAAGATAGGGAGCAAATACATCAGCAGGGTTGCCGTGTTTTCAGTTTTGGAGTCCCCAAATGAAGTGGCAGCCCTGTCAATGTATTTGCTCCCTATCTTTGAATGGAGAGTCTGTTTTGATGTAGAGGTGGACTCTCAGGGTAGGGTGGGATATCCCCTCTATTTTGGCCTCACTTTGAGAGCTTTTTTTGAGCTTGGGAGATGATTTCAGAGAAAACCAGTGGGACCATCGAGTTTCTCGCGAACTTTTACATACGAAGCAACAGTTAAATCGCAAATCCCTCACACATGCAACATCTCCATTCCTTACGTGTATATGTGTCGTGTAAGTGATTCAGCTGGGACTGGGCTCGCCAAGAGAAGTCGGTCTGTTTTCCACCCATGCCCACCTTTCTTCCCGTCGGACGCGCGACGGGGACATGTTTTCTCTGTCATTCGCCGTTTTCCGCGGTTGGTCAGCTTCGTGGGATTTTCGCCGCTCTTTCCCTCCGTTGATCGGTCAACGACGCGACTGGCGACGCGCTTGGGGCCCGGCCAGAAATTTATCCCGGGGGGGGGGGNGGGGGGGGGGGGGGGCGCGGGGGAGAAAGGTCTTCGCCGTTCATAATTTCGAGAGGTGGATCCGTAACCGAGGTAAACAAACACCCGAGCAATGGATTATTTTTTCCTATGCTACCTGTTTCACATCTATTTTTTGGCAAAAAATGAAGGAATTGCCTTCTCACTGTAGAAAAACTAACACGATTTGGACCGCGTTAAACAGAAAGGAACCAAGCCACATCAGCTATTGCCAAATTTAATCGGGCAATTTATTTTTTTACATGAAAACGGTTGTGCGGATTTTTGTGAAAATTTCTATGAATTTGCTCCATAATACAAAGCAAATTCCTTAACATTTTCAAAGGAATCCGCACAAACGTTCTCTCGTAAATAATCAAATTCCCCTGTTAAATTTGGCAGTAGCTGATGTGGCTTGGTTCCTTTCTGTTTAACGCGGTCCATTTGAGGGGGGATGAGAGGCTTGGAGGAGAAGGTGCATGAGTGCAGTTTTTCCTGTTTCGAGAAATACGTGTTTCAAGTTTCGGAATTACATGGGATCCACGCCATAAATTACATTTATGATGGAAAGAAAGTTCAACGTGACTTTTTGATGCTTGAAAATCGGAATTGTATTCGGGAGCTAATTTTTCCCAGAGTATGCACTAAGACTAGTTTTACTTGATATCATTAATATCTCAATTTTTTCAAAAACTGCACTTACGCGCTTTATCCTTCAACCCCCTCGAATATTCTTGAATTTTTCGCCAAGAAGAAAAGAGTTAATCAAGCTTGCTTTTTCTTGATGGAAGGATTTTTCTTCTCGATTGTGTAGGGATTGTAATGGAAGCAAACACGAATGTTTTGGATCATATTTTCTAATATTTCCGGCTTCACTTCTATTTTTTGGCAAAAAAATTAAATAATTTCGTCTTTATTGGAGGAAAAGTTACTCGATTTAAGCAGAGATATTCTTGACTTTGTCGCCAAAAAGGAAAGTGTTTGAACGAGGCCGTTTTTTTTACTAAGAATTTCCCCTCGATTCAAGAATATTTCTGCTGAAATCAATTCCTTTTTTTCCCCATGTAGAGTATGGTCTCCAGGATGTAGCAAAACCGTCGGGGAAGATGTGGTCGATTTTTTCTGTAACCTCTGAAAGCTTAAAGTATCCGAACGCTAATACCTCTTGACTCGACTAATCTTTTTCGATGTTTGGAGGTCGCATACTTTAAGCTTAATAAGCTGTCTCTGACATCTTTTCTGGAAATCATGATATGTTCTCAGAGTATTTTTAACAATTTCTAAAGTTAAGCCCTCCCTCGATCATATTCTGACGACTTCTTACGAGGTATAATCCATCCCCCCTTTCCCCCACCACCGACGCTACTGAAATGGCGAGAATGTTGTGAAATTGTGATTGAGATTTACTCCGAGCGGACCGATTATTGAAATTGATGGACAAAGCTATAGACAAAGAAGACATAGGGAGTATGGAGCGATCCTATTGGTTGAAATGGGTGGTTCCTATAGACAAAAGGAGAAACTGATAGACTAACTGTCGGGTCTCTCGTGGGTTGCCGTTAGTTAATCTATTACCTACCTCCTTTGATGTCCATTGCAACCACCCGCTTCCACCAATAGGATCTCTCCGTATCTCTTTTGTCTCCTTTGTCTATAGCTTTGTCTATCAATTTCAATAATCGGCCCGCAGGACGAAGGAACGTAACTCCATCCGAGATCGTGAAGTTGACTTAAGCAATTTGATTTTTTGCAAAAAACGTACGTTTTTCCCCCGTTACCCTAATTTCCGTCCAAAATATTTCTGATTTTCGCATGAGATCAGAGGGAAATTAAGTGAAATTTTCAGTCAGAAATGCCCATGTCTCTCCCGGTAAAAATGCAATTATCGAGGGGAAATTTGGCTATATGGCAAGGAGGAAAACGACCTCGTTGATCAACAATGACCTGCTCAACGTCTAGAATCTGGAAAAAGCACGTAATTTTGTGATGTTGAAGGAACAACTCTCTCCTTAAATTTGAATCGCTGTAAAGATGGAGTGACCTTTGCATAAAGTGTCTAACTAAACCTTTTTATTGGATAAAATGAAAATAAAACTCATTGTAAACCTAAGAAAATGAAAACAATTGGCTTGTGATGTTTTCAGGAAAACTAGGCGAAAGATCCCAATCAGAAGGCCTGACCAAAATGACCATGCTGCAGTTTCATCCTTGCGACAACAAACGGTTCATTCCCTTCACAGTACCGTGTGTGGCCGCTTAAAACGGTGAGTGAGAAATATTTAATGTAATCCTAAACCCATTCAAATGATGGGTGAATGAAAATGACTGCATCATCGCTAATTCTGAAAGTTAGAATCTTTCTACTTAGCAAGACCAGGAGAAATAACAGTCAGGAAAATTGCACAATCATGTATCTTGCTCGGTTAACGAGCTTGCAAATCTTCATCTTAACTTGCTTGTTTTTCTTTTCTTTTTCTTCTTTCTTTTTCTGATAATATCATCAGGCAAATTTACACGAAATTCGAAAAAAATTATTGAAAAGACAAAGAAAAATTTTCGTTGTTTTGTAGTTAAACCATTGATGAACGAACTGCGTGCAGCAGAAAGGAACCGGCCGAGCGGATCTGCTGCATAGAGAAAAAAAAGGAGGTGTTTGCATCTTGAGGATTTGTACCCACCTACGTCATCAATGTAAACAAGACGCTCGTTGAGGGTTATGTTGACGCTGTAAAAACGGACCATAATGTCCGATTTTTTTACTTAAATCAACTCTTTATATAATTTCAAGCACTTTTTATAGAATGACTTTTCCCCTTAAATTACACCATTTCCAAGAAAATCGACAGGATAAAAACGTCGCTGTACCCAATGACGTCATCAAAGCTATAGATACTCTATGAAAAATTCCAAAATGCCCGAAATGCAAACACCTCCTTTTTTTTCTCTATGGATCTGCTGTCTCTCTTGAAAAACAACTTCCCTTCCTGCCAATTCTATCCAAAAAAGACGCGGCCCTCTAAACGTTTGTCAGTGGGTTTAATGCTAATCAGTATAACGTTTTGCGCTCCCTGCGATGACCGTGAGCCCGACGAAAGCCGATACGCCTTCAATTTTTCTGTTATGCAACGCGGACGTCCTAGGAGTAGGAATAGTTGTATCACTCGCTTCCTGCAGGGGCCCGTGTCACATCACGCGTCGCGTCGTGTCCTTAGCGTCAAGCAGCAGACGCATTATTCAAACAAAAATCACGTTAGCTTACCTCCAGCCCTTTACCCTGTAAACCTATTTTTTTTCCTTCTTTTTCTCTCTATCTCTATTTTCTTCCCTCTTTCTTTTTTCCAGCCCTACATTAGCAATTCGAAAAACGATCGCAATTAGAAGTGTACTCCCCAGAATGAGAATTACAATAAGTTTCATCAAAATGAACGCCATTAAAATGAACGATTTTTTTCTCATCTGGTAGTAATCAAAAGAGAGAAAAAATAAATTAGGAAGTAAATTATTTTTAAAATTTGCATTTTTTGTTTCTCCCTTTTTATAAGCATATTTATTTGTTTTAGTGGGGCACAAAAAAAGAGAGGAAAAAGTAAAATAAAAAATAGGTACTCAGGTGCGTCAATGGGGGTGTCAATGAAAACACATGGAGGAGGGACTATATTTCTTATCAATTTAAAATCTGAGCTTTTGTACGTCAATTTCGGGCCAATTTAGAGAATTTCTCTGTTTTTTTCCAGGCTTTACAATTTTGTTTTCTCTTTTTTTCTTTCTACAAAGTGGCTTGTATTCTTTTAGCTAACCAGAAATTTAAGTCATTCAAACTTTTTCTTTCCTCTTTTTTTCTGCAAAAGAAGCAGAATTTGAATCTTCATCAAACAGATTCAATGAACTTAAACATCTCCGATTCTCTATCGATATTCTCTATTTCACACCGAATAGGATGCCTTGTTTAACCGTTAATTTTTCTGCATTTAGGTTTAGAATAAGTGGAAGTTTCAACTGTGGATGATTTGATGGAGAGAGATTTCGACGAGGTAGAGCTGCTGCCGGCAAACCTGACAGTGTGCTCCCATGAGGAAGAACACTGGTTTCGCGACAATTCCCGGCAAATAATTCAACGGTTCCTCGTTCCTTTTGTAGTGGCTGTGGGAGTCATGGGAAACCTCATAACGATCCTTGTTCTCACCAGACGCCGAATGAGCAGCTCAACGAATAATTACCTCTCTGCTCTAGCAGTCGCTGATCTCCTGTACCTCCTTTTCCACTTCACACTGTCGCTCAAGCACTATCCAGGGATGAACGCCCCGGATAAAATCATTTACTGGACGTACAGGCCGTATGTCCTGTGGCTCACAGATGCAACCAGTAAGCTTTTTTATTAAAAATTCTGTTGCTTTTTATCATGAATGAAGATAATGTAGTGTATTAGAGCTGTGTTTAATCATATGAAGATTCTGGGGGCATATAAATCAGTGATATCAGAAAATCATCAGTTCTCACTGCAAGTAAACTTTAGTAGTTTATATTTTTTAGGAGATAGGGAGGGCTAAATTAGTGTCCTAACTCTACTAGAGGCTGGCAAGTTGTCGCGTGTAAATAATCTTTAATAATAATAATAGGGGGATACTGGAGAAAACAAGAACAAAAGAAAGTTGATCTCATGATCAGTGTATATGTTTTTAAATAGACTCTGCCCAAACCCAAGCCTGTCTTGCTGTGCCTATTTTTCTGATAACTCCCAGAAACAGTCATCCACCATGATTTTAACTATTAACTCTCTCCCGACGGATCTCATGCAAATTGCAGTTTTCTTCTTTACTAGATTTGTGTGGCATTTCCTCTCGCTATTTTTTCTATTGTTAGCAGTAAGCAGCTAAGGGCAGTTAGCTATATTCTTTTCCCTCATGTATCTCTGCAGCTACAATTCATTTTTAGAAATGACTGCTCTTCATTGTTCTCAAAAATGTCAAATCACAAGCTTATCAGTAAAATGACGGTAATGTATTTAAACCATTCTATATACTATAAAAAATGGTCAAGACTATGTTTTTCACTGTTTTTTCTACTGGGAAAAATGGAGAGGATACAAAAATTTCATTTCGCTGAGGAAAACCATGATGGAAATTTTGAAGTCAAGGAATGTCAGAGAATTGGAAAATAAAGAAATCGTGGGAACTCAGACAATGAGTGTTGATTTCTGTTGCGTCCTTGTTCCTTGCATAATCTCCCATGCAGCACGTATTAAAATGTTAATGGTTTCTGAATTTTAGATTTTTCCATCACAAGGGGAGAAATCAGAGCTTTGAAAAATGTGCAGCGAAAAAGAGCAGCAGAAAAGGAAAATAACAAATTTTATAGTTCACTGAAATTTCATAATTTGTAATAATGTATTGACAAATTATTACGGCATGGTCACAAAAACGTACTCAAAGCTGGAATTCCTTGAACCCGAAGTAATAATTGTTTCATCTTAAGGCACCTCAATGGGAATCCAGCTTTGTTAAAAGGAATACCTTTTAAACAAAGTTTTAAAGTGACTCTATCATAGTCAAATCAAACTATCAATTGATTAAATTTTACAATTTAATCCGCAATGTATTCACAGGCAAGTGAAATATGTGTATCTTTTTCTGCAATGTGATTGAGTATCATTCAGTTTTAAAAAAGAAATGATGAAAGCTTTCTCATTTAATGACCTCATGAATTCATCATTGCCCAAATAATGAGGTTTTGTCTTTGTATGTTCTCTTTATTTTAGATGCAGCTTCGATTTGGTTGACTGTGTCGTTTACTTTGGAGCGTTACATTGCTGTTTGCCATCCTCTACGGGGACGAATGTCATGTACAGAATCACGAGCAAGAAAAGTTATAGTAATGGTTTTTGTACTGTGTCTTCTGCTCACGGCAAGCACTCCGTTTGAACATTTGGTCAGTGTCTGCCTGAACAGCAATGGTACCAAGGAGCTGTATTTGGCAGCGACAACACTAGCTCAAAACAAACACTACCGATCATTCTACTTCTCGTTTACCACCATTGTGATGATTTTCATTCCAATCTTCCTTCTCGGCATCTGTAATATATTCCTAGTCAGTGCTGTTCACCGGAGTAAATCAAAGCGCCCGGATTTAACTCAGGTAATCCAACAGCTATTCTAGTTTTTATACATTTTGCAGTGTTAAGCATGGCTCAGGCAGTTTTTGAAAAATATTTTAATGTCCTCAAAAAAGCCTCAAAATTGTTCCCTTTTTTTAGTGATGGAAATGAATAACTTTAACCCCAAAGTTAACCTTACTACATTGCACATTCATCGGCTTTTTTCTCTAGTATTTTATTTTTTTAACAAAACAAAGTAAAAGACTTTTTGCCTCGAAAATGCATGATTATTCTCTCAAAATCCTTGAGAAATTCATAGAAAGAATCAAAGCATTTTATTGCTTAGCTCCTGGGCAGAATTTTTTTCCCCCCCATCCCTCTTAAATACACAATATTTTAACAAATCAAATAAAAGTTAGAGAAAGCATGGAATAAAAGTTACAATTCGCAGAGCAGACCTAACATGCGTAAAAAATGCATCAGAAGTTAAACATTTATTTTTTTTAATAATAATAATAATAATAATAATAATAATAATATATAAAAGAAAAAAAAAGAAGAAAAAAACGTGTAAAAGGGATAAAAATAAAGACTCGCATACCCAGATTAACCTAGACAAGCACTCATTCTTATTGAAAAATTGTAATTACAAGATTGAATTTCCCACAGTATACAATGTTATACATAATTGTGAAGCTGAAAGTGTCCTCTATCAAAGCAGACAGAAAAATGAGCAAATTGTTCACTTTGGAACCTACCTCTGCTTAAAAGATTCTCATGAAGCTTTGGAAAGCATAGCACAGTGGGAAAAACAGCCAATCTAGGGCAGAAAAAGTCTTGACGCTCGGAGTGTTCACTTTCCCATTGGTTTTTCACACTTAGTTGATCCTATATATCTACCTAAGCATCAAAGAAAGCATAATGCGCCGATTTTTCGTAAATTTCAGAGGTATCGAGCTAAAGTTAGTCGGCAAATCAGCTGTAATTCACATTCCTGGAGACTGTGCTTTAGTTTGTGGTTCCTGATCGGTCAGTGGAGTTGGAATAAAATATTTCTTGCTTTTTATGTTATTGCTGGTTACTTTCTACACTATGAAGTGTACTAGTCTTATTCCCCCCCCCCTTTTTTTTTTTGGAATGCTTTGCGTGCTCAATAATTTTCCATAACTTTCCAGCTCCTCAAAATCTTAAAAATATTAAGTATTGTACATGCGCATTCTGTTAATAAATATGGTACGAGAGAAACAACTAACAACTAAAAAGTAAAAATTTGCACGGATAAAATATAAAACATCTATATCGGCGAGGATCGAACGCGGACTATGAAAATAATAGCGAAGCACGCTATCCGCTAGGCAATCAGTGACGATTTGACGGTGGGCGGAAATAGCTGTAATATAAAAGTACATTGGGGGAGTTGCGCGCGCAGCGCTCTGCGCACGCACTCTCCCTACGCTACTCAGCGATTCAACGCTAGGCTGCTGGGCAAAACGACAGTTACAATCAATCTGAGCACATGTTTCGACTCAGTTTTGATCAAATATCTCTGAAAGGCTGGGAAAGGCTGGCTTCAACCAAGGATTTTTGTGATCTTGATAGTATAACGAGTAACTGGATATAAATATCTCCTCGGATATCCTTGGATATTGTAAGATGCAGTCTTTAGAAGTTTGAATTTCTGACTATTTCAGAGGCTAACTTTCAAAAATTGCTGTAAGTCATAGAAGTATGTAAAAAAGAAAAAATTGGTATCCTTACGTTTAGGTGAGCAAGCCTTTGTTGAAAAAAAAATTAAAAGTCACTAATGACACACTTAGACGAACATACGAGGCTACTGAATGTAACCACTCTGAGGCGGTCCTCAACCAGCTCCGCGCTAACCGGTGCATTTCTTATTATTATCGCAGATAAGATCGATCTTATGAAGTAGAACTTGGCTGATTCTTGATCAGTAGATCCTAAGGAACACATACATACCAATTTTTGCCATTTTCATTGATGCTGATTTTCCGACTTTTTCGGCGCTAGATCGGCTGTTTTTCCCATTGTGAGTGGCCAAAATCTCCCAACAATTTTGAAAATGTCAACTTCAACTAACTGTTATTTGTGAATAATTGATACGACAATCTGATACTTCCTTGAAAAGTTTACTACCACCAACTTTTTACGATCTATAGGTTACATACACCCTCTTAAAATCATCAATGAATTCTGCTTTTTCTGCATTCATTACCCTCATCAGTCCCTTAATTTATTCTAGAAAAAACTCTCTAGATCTTGGGCAAAGGGGGAGCTTCTGCTTGGAAGCATTTTAGAAAATAATGTTATGGTTTGAAAAAGTCTCATTTTAACCCACAGAATTGACTCTTAAAATATTTAAGCTGAACCTGACATCATTTTGCATTTCATTCGAATGAGGAAAGGAAAGTGACCATATTTCCGTAGTTATCAAATTTTTTTTTGATGATTTCAGGATCGAGGACACAGCAACTATCGTCAAAATCAAGAAAACAAGATAACATTAACCTTAGTGATGGTGGTGAGTTTGTTCATCATCTGCCAAGCGCCGACAGCCATTCTTCTCATCTACCAGATTTTTGTGCGCAACAAGCCGAACTCCAATGCTTTCAACATAGAGTTAGGTCTAGGTAACATTTTTAATTTTCTCGTCTGTGTTAACTCCGCGAGCAATTTCATTCTCTACTGCATCATGAGTGACAAATATAGGAGGACTCTTATGATGACACTGGTGCCGTGTTTAGCAAAAACGAAGAAGTCTCGTACTTTTTCCTCTTTAGCCAGTTTTCGCAACTCAACTCGGCACAATCATTCAACCTGCTCGTAAGAGTGGCTGTTTGATTTGAATCCATGTGCGCATGGATCATAACAAAGATCTCATCTCAGCTGGAAAACTCCACTGCCAAAGAAATAATCTGTATGGCGCAATAATTCCGAGAGTTTCTTGAGAGTAATCTCGCAACTTGCTACGATCAAAGCATAGCAATTTGCAGTGCTGATTTCAAACAATGTATGGAAAATAGCCTTTTTAGGAAACAGCACAGTCTGTGAAAGTTATTTATCACGTGATACTGTTTCTTTTGTATTTTGAAAGTATTATGGCTACCAACTGAACAATGAAAATTAAAAACGTTTTATTGCTTTCAGGTGTTGCCTAGATTGTACATAGTGTTCATTATAAAAGAAATTTAATGCCTTTGATTTGCTACATTTTCTGTAAGTTTTGGTCTGAAACTCAATCATCAGAATAATTGGAATACTCAGGATATTTTGATAACAGTGCAAACATATACAGTAGTTACGAAATATTGAAAAATCCTTTATCAGTCATTGAAAACCCCCAAGGTTTTCATGAGGGTGAAGAATGCTACCTGCAAATAACACTACCCCTGACTACTAAGTAGCTGCTTTTATTGGACTATAGATTTTTTTCAAAAGTTATGATTATCTGACGGTAGAACTATGATTGAAGGACTTTTAGAGTAAGAATTAATTTTTCAGGGTTTCAAAAAATATAAAGAGGAGATTTTACTGCATCCAGTATAGTTTCTTTTTACTGGGAAGATCATAAACAATGATCAATTTAGATTTCGCCAGTAGCTTTTCCAATTTTTGTTTCATCCGTTTTCTCTGAGAAGTTATGTTAGCATATTAAGGGGGCAAAACTTCAGTAGTATTTGATCGGGAGATTTTTGAGTGACAGTAGATGGGATATTTTTATAACAAAATAGGAAAAGGTTAGAAGTTTGAATGATTGGATTCAAGGACTCTGACCGAAGAATTTTTTCTAGCCATTTGTCGGCAATTTCGACACTTCGCTTTGCTTAACTCCTTGTCTACTAAGTCGCTGCATTTAGTGTTGACAGGAGCATTCTAGACACAGAAAGATCGATTTTGTATGGTTGTAGCTTGATTTAGCACTTGTATTCTCATTTTAGTTGTTCTACCACGGTTCCTGAAAGGCGATGTGGAGAAGTACAGCCGATGCTTTTTGTCAATTTGAAGGCTTATTTCTCCTATCTCAATTAATAGTCGGTTTTTTTCTCTATTTTGAGCGTTTGGTCAGGTTTTTTGAAGAAAGAGCTTTCTTAAATTCTAGGTGGCGGTAGCCGCCCCAGCCCAATCCTAAAAAAACCCCTGAAAAGTTGATCACCGAAAAAAAAAAAAAAAATTGGCAGATTTGTGCCAATCTTCAAAGAGCATTAACTGACTTGGCAACCACTCAGAATGGTATGAATTGGCAGAAGATGCAGAACCATAATGATGAATAGTACCAAACGGTCTCATTATAGTTGATGAGCAAAGTTAAAATTTCTATTCATCATGGAAATGATGATGAAAGTGATCACGAAGACTTCTAATTGAAATTACCCTGAAAAGTACCAGTTTAATAAGGTGAAGAATATAGGATTGAAGCATTTAAAAGGTTTTTTGCTAGAATTGCAGCAATCGCACTTGCCGCAACGTAATGAAGGTTGTCAATCCATGCAATGCAATGATTTAACAAATTCACCAGTAGGACTTTTATGCCGGTAAATCACTACTAAATGCAAATAAGTTTGTGTATTCATTTTTCTCTGAATTGATGGGAGAAAAATCACTTACATTTGCACTTCCAGTTCACTTCCAATTTTTCAAGAATTATACTCCAAGATAAATTTTCCTTGAAATGCTTGAATATTTTTCCAAAAACATCCTGTAGCTCCACCGGAAAAAATGATGTTGATTTAACATTCCGGATGTAATAAAGTGTGCAAAAGCTCATAAAACGTAGAACTATCCGCTGCAGCGGTTCCTTTAGCATTGTCAAGATGTAAAACAAACTGCTGTGGCGGTTAATTTAGCGTTTTGTGAGTTGTTGCACACTTTTTTACAACAAGAATGTTAAATCAGCCTCCTTTTTTTCGGTGTTGTACCTGCGGAACACTTTCAAATTGCCACCGTTCGAGAAATGTCATATTTAAAGACACTTTTTTATATTGGCATTAGATAACTGTTAACAAAAAAAATACGATAAAAATGTTAACATTGGTTAATTCTCTTAGCTCCAATATTTCGAAGAAGTGAAGAGATAGCTCTGTTTTCAATGTGAAAATGCTATGAAAAGTTTATTCTTTTGAATTCGATTAATCTTCGTTTATTCTTTTGAATTGCAGCATAGCATACTTACCAGCGTGTCTTGCACGTTGAGAGAAGCATTTTTACCTCATCTTTCCTGTTCTCTTGCTCTTCGGATTGCAACATTCTACAACCATTGCAAGACATGTTAAAGATGCCGCCAATTTTTTTGCATTTCGCGATGCCTTCTTTGATGGTGGGTGAATTCAGAACGATTTTAACGTCGAGTTGGATCGTATGATCAAAGCAGCTGATTTGTCTGATCCCTAGCAAATCGATCGCTTTCTTGATATTAGCCCCACTGTCCGTTGCAAAACACGTATACATTTCGACTTCTGTAGTTCCCAGGACTCCAGAACTTCCTCGAGAGCGTCGCGAAGCAAATCGGCTGTGTGTGACTCATTAAAATAATGGTAAGCAAGCCAAACAGCAGCTTTGTTGGTAGAGATTTTCATCAATAAAATGACCAGTGAGACCTATGAACTGGTTGCCATTTGATGATGTCCACAAGTCTGTGGTTAGGGCCACGTCGCTTGCTGCCTTTAGCTGTCTGGAAAATAAAAGATAGGAGAATACTTTAAACGTGTAGTTATACATACGAGGGTCATTCGGACCAAATGACATGTAAGTACCCACACTGGAAAAAAAATTACAGGCTATATAGACATTACGTCCCTTCCGGGCTCGGAGGCCGAAAGTTTCAGGTGCTGGAGGCGTAGTACTCCAATCGAGTCTTGAACAACACTAAACGACCCATCTCCAATCTTAATCAATTGGCGCTCCACTTCCGATCTCCGGGACTTGTGGTCTACCGGTCTGTTGAGTGAAAACACAATTTCATCCGAATATAAACGTTCTGCAGGCTTCAGCCAGCCTTTATCAACTCCCAACAATCGGCTCTGCAAGGGGGCCAGTCCTGGCATTGGAGAGAGATGTGGGGAAAGTGTGTAATAGGTTGATCTAATTTTTATCAGCGTTAAGGTTGGGTCTGAGCACGGGATTTCATAGCTCGATGGCAATAACGTTCTTGTGAGGGCGGCCATGAAGATTAGTTCAATGGTGTTCTCTAATCTGACTGGGATATCTGCATAACAGACTGCTTGCTCTACAATGGATATACTAAACTCTTGGCAGGCTTTTAGACGCACCCCATGGCCGGCCGGACACAACATCCACCCCGGAGCTCCTGTGATGACCAGATCTGCAAGCTCTAGGTGTTTTCTCGCGGTTTGTACTATGGAAGTGCGAACCATTTGTTCAAGTAAACATTGGTTCTGCAAAATAGTTTGCGTTGTTAAGCGGAGTGCTTGCTTTGTGAAGAACTCCTGTCCCGCAAGACCCGCTCTGAGGAGGGTGTTTATGGACCCTTGGAAGGAGCCTGTTGCACTGGGTATGGCAAGGCCTGTTGTGTTGCTTATATAAATCAGAGGGTCCGTAGTCTTTTGCACTTCGAGCCCACATAGCCGTAAGTGTTCTTTCAGAGTGAAGGCTGACATTTTCTTTTGAATGACCAGGTCCTGTTTCTGATAGTCTATTACTGACCCTGGCCCAGCATATAAGACGTTCCAGTTGCACTCTTGGGTGTGTGGATTGTTGGACAGTACAACTACTCCATCTAGCGTAGTACTAGACTCCTTTGTCAGGCTCCACTGTAATGTTGACCCATCTAGCTGTCGAAGACCCTCCCTATTTGGCAACTGGGCGTATTCTCTAACTGTAGCCCATTCCAGTTCTCCAACTCAAGCGCTTCTGCTCCGCTCATCTCTCGAACATCTACATATAATGAATACACATACATATTAGAACTTATAATAAAACACAAATAAAACACATAATAAAACACAAATAAAACACATAATAAAACACAAATAAAACACATAATAAAACACAAATAAAACACATAATAAAACACAAATAAAACACATAATAAAACACAAATAAAACACATAAAAATATTTCCCTTTTTCTAAAAGAACAAACTTTCTTTTCTTTCCTTTCCATCACCAAAAAAAACTCTATATTCAAAACAACTATCCTGAGTTGATAGCTTCTCATGCTCTTCATGGCGCTTGCCTGTTTCCTCTCTCCACAAATCCATCTTTTTATGGGAGCTAGATAGAAAGACTGCAGACTCTTGTACAGGTCCAAATAGGATTAGTGCAAGCATATTTTTCTCCGTACAGTCTGAAATCACAAGATTTAAACATGTGCCATACAATGCACATAAACTATTAAGGGGTTCACGTCTTGTAACTTTGCTTAAAGACCATTGTATTGTCCCTTCATGTTGCTGGCGCCATCAAAGGAGCAGCCCACAACATCTATGAGGGAAAGCCCGAATGGGTTACATTCTCTTTCGAGCTGATCAAAAAAAGCTTGACCCATTGTGTCATGAGTGACGACTAGATCTAGAAACCTTTCACAAGCAGTGTCATCTTTAACGTATCTTACACAAATCGCTACTTGCTTCATTAATTACAGCGATATCTTGGGTGTTATCTAGGATTACACTGAATTCTTTTGCATCTTTCAGATCTTTCGAAATTTTACTTTGGACGTGTGACCCAATAATCTTAATAAGCTTGAGGAGGAACGCTTTGGAAAGGAAAGTGACCTAAGACCTTCGCCCTCTCTTCTTTTTTACTTTGAGTTTTTTCTCTTTACTTTTGTCCTTGGCTTTTTCCCATAGTCTGGCCTTGGTAACCTGTTTTTGATCGAACTTATCCTTCATCCCGTACTTGATTCAGTGCTATTTCTAACATGCTCTTTCATTATTGGGTCATACCTCACAAGTAACAAAACCTACTCCAAAAAATTCTCGTGGCTCCTTCCTTGGTCTAAGGAATATGCGCCCTCAAATTTCCCTCTGAAAGCAAGACCTTGTCTAGCTAAAAATAAAGTTATTTCAATAAGTCTTGAGATAACGTTCCAGTGTATTTCAATTTCTTTAGCACGTTTATCAACGAGATCTCGAGAAATTAAATTTTCGATACCTTAGGTTTGGCTTCAGTGTTGGTTTTCTTTGAAGATTTCGACTTGGCTTTCAAAATTCGACTGCTTTCACTCGCCTCCTTTTGCTTTGCTGACTGTCGTCGAACTCCCTTTTTTTCCATTTGTTCTAACAGTTTGTCTTTTGTATCTGGGAAAATACAATAAGAAATGAAAGTTAAATAAGTGTACTAAACAACTAAAATGGTAAACTCAAAAAGGTGGTAGTTGCATCTTTTAGACTTTAGAAAATTCTTTGAAATTAATGGCAAATATTAGATAAAGTGTGTAATATTGTGAGATGGCGTAGCTCAGAAGGGGGTAGAGCTGCGTTGCAAGTGCTATTGCAGACGCAAGGTGTCGCAAGAGCAAGTGCAGACACGCGTCGCGACGACTGTGCTGACACAGACAGGATAGACGGGAAGAGGCGAAGACCAAGAAGAAAATAAAATCACGATGACATATAATGTCTATTGCTACAAGGGCACACAATTCATGTACGGTCTGAATCTGGGTCGATGGGATGAGGAGCGGACAAGTGCCGCTCGATCACCAGTCTCTCCAAGAATCCGGTGAACCTCTGGAGCCACAGGGATGAGAAGCGGCCCACGGCCAGCTCGCACGCTGTTTCTTCCTAGTCGCCTTGTCATGGAGTTTCCAATTTTTGCGGCGCTCATGAGCTATCTTGCTCTGGCAGATCGAGCTGGACGATTAACTCGTCTGTTAAGTGCGGCATGTTTGTTTTGGCTCGACAATGGTGTGACACCCTGTGGCACATAACGTTCAGAAATTCCAGGAGGCTACATGTGCCTCTTGCAAATGCACGCTGTTTCTTCCCAGTCGCCTTGTGATGGAGTTTCCAATTTTTGAGGCGCTCATGAGCTATCTTGCTCTGGCAGATCGAGCTGGACGATTAACTCGTCTGTCAAGTGCGGCATGTTTGTTTCGGCTCGACAGTGGTGTGGCACCCTGTGGCACATAACGTTCAGAAATTCCAGGAGGCTACATGTGCCTCTTGCAAATGCACGCTGTTTCTTCCTAGTCGCCTTGTCATGGAGTTCCCAATTTTTGCGGCACTCATGAGCTATCTTGCTCTGGCAGATCAAGCTGGACGATTAACTCGTCTGTCAAGTGCGGCATGTTTGTTTCGGCTCGACAATGGTGTGACACCCTGTGGCACATAACGTTCAGAAATTCCAGGAGGCTACATGTGCCTCTTGCAAATGCACGCTGTTTCTTCCCAGTCGCCTTGTCATGGAGTTTCCAATTTTTGCGGCGCTCATGAGCTATCTTGCTCTGGCAGATCGAGCTGGACGATTAACTCGTCTGTTAAGTGCGGCATGTTTGTTTCGGCTCGACAATGGTGTGGCACTCTGTGGCACATAACGTTCAGAAATTCCAGGAGGCTACATGTGCCTCTTGCAAATGCACGCTGTTTCTTCCCAGTCGCCTTGTCATGGAGTTTCCAATTTTTGCGGTGCTCATGAGCTATCTTGCTCTGGCAGATCGAGCTGGACGATTAACTCGTCTGTTAAGTGCGGCATGTTTGTTTCGGCTCGACAATGGTGTGGCACCCTGTGGCACATAACGTTCAGAAATTCCAGGAGGCTACATGTGCCTCTTGCAAATGCACGCTGTTTCTTCCTAGTCGCCTTGTCATGGAGTTCCCAATTTTTGCGGCGCTCTGGAGTGAAGAGAGTCCCGTCTTGCAGCGACTCAAAATCGGAGGCTTCCTCCCGAAACAAGTCTAACAAGCAAGCTGAAAAATTGTATAAAAAAGAGATTGAAACACAAAGGCGGATGAAAACGAAAGGTGTCCATCTGGGAAACCATCTCCAACATAAGTTTGATAAAACTTCTGCTGGTGCTCAAACCAACCTATGCCTGTTGAAAGGGACAACAGAGGGGCGAAGGTCTGCGAATAAGATGAAATCTTATCCTGAAGAGTGACATCGATATAAGCATCGTGGAAATCCACGGGCTTGACGGCGTTAGTGCAAGGAGCACCATCTTGCTGACGAGCAAGACGAACACTCATTTGTGCAAGACATGCACGATATGCTTGAAATATTGAACATATATTCGGCACCTTTGCAGGCTGCTCAGAGAGCAGTCTATTGTAGCAACAGGCTACAATGGCACCAACGCCACGAGTGCTTACAGATAACCACTCGGGAACCTTACTAACAACAGGGTTATCGATCTTGATCTTGGGGAGATCATGAACCTGCCACTTCTTCTCCATGCCAACCCGACCACAGGTAGCATTCGGACCCTTGAGGAAAGCCTCATTAACCTTAACCGTATATTCGTCTTGACGACGATTTCGGGCGCCTCTGCCGCCACGGCCTGACCGGCCGCCACGGAACACCTTGGGAGGTGGTTTCGACACTGTATCAACAGCATCTTCCTTTGTAACAGACATAGTGAGTACGACAAAATTTTGTTGAGAAAGAGGCGAAAGCACACAGTGTCTCAGACAACTTCGCTGAGGGCAGCGAAAATCGCTAGATAAATACAATCGTTAAATGTCTTGCATACAGTTTTAGTGATATAGTCAGACTGAGACAAACAACATTTATGGTTTCAATGAACAAATTCTTGGGTTTTCCTTGGATGGGATTTTTTTCTCTTCCAAAAAAAATTTACACCAGTTCTGAAATGCTTCCGTCGCAGGGGCAAAATAATTTTAAATTGTAGCCAAGTGATGATAATATCTAGTGTAGCTAGTTTTTGCACTATATTAGAATAACAAACTCTGGCCATCAAAAACAGTGCCCCTAATGATCTGCATGAGGAAACTTATCTCGCTTTTCTTCTGATAGCTTTATCATGTAGCTTCCAGTGCTGGACAATTAGTTTGTCCGTTTATGGGGGCATATTTGTCTCTGCTCTGCAATATTGAAATTTCTGCTCTGAAATTTTTAAATTTATAGGACTAGGAAATTAAGGAGACATATTTTTAATAGACTTCATTTGTATTATGATAACATATATGATAACACAACATATATGTACGTAAGGAAGGCACTTGGTAATGGAGACATGGTTGACCTGACATTCTTCTATTTTTTTAAAAAATATTCACCTCTCCTCTTCTTTTTTTCTTCAAAAACATGCTGTGCTATTTACGTAAAGACATCATGCTTACATTTCTAACTCTGCAGCCAGTCTTACAATCTCCTCTTCGAATTCAACTGGAACCTTTTTCAGTTTTTTTTCTAATTCTCCTGATATATATTTGTGATAGCAGCTGTTTGCTGCGCAAATTACTCTATATGCCATATCATCTATGTTTACGACTAAATATCCGTACGGGTATTCTAATTTTTGTTTTTTATAATGAATTTTTGATATTCTGGGACAAATAAATTCATGGCCCGCTATTCCAAGCCAAAGCGAATTTGTCTCTGCATCCCATTCTTTGGTTAGAGCTACTTTTCCTGTTACTTGGAAGCAAAATTTGTCCACTGATTCATTTTGAAGTTTCATGTTGATCCTGTAACAGAGAAACTTATAATTAATTTTCTAATCATCAAATCTTTTTTGTCAATTTTTCATCTATACTCTTAACTCATTTATTTTTCAAGTTTTTTTGCAGTGACCTAACCATCATATTTTGGCGAAGTATCAGTTTTGCCTTTTGTTTCGAGGTGTTGTTGACTCAGTGCGACGTCTTTGATGACTGAGGATAAAAGTGTATCATAAATCTTTACACTTAAATCCAAAAGCAAGACGCGGAAAAGGCGACATCTCATCATGTAATACTAAGGTTGAGATTGATTTTCGTCTCTAAAGTTAATAATCATATTTGTTGATAAGAATCTTCAATTGTCCTGGCTAGGGTTCGCGTATGGTTTGAAGAAGGTGGCAATGGCCATATTATTTTGTTGCAAGGTGTTGGAGACCTCTTTGGGACGTAATATTTTTGCTAAACTCGCAAAACTCTTTACAGGTTCATTTCCTCAATATACCTAATTTAGCACTCCTTATTTTTGTAGCAACCGAAGTAAATTGTGTTTATAATGTAGTAAATATTCAGTGACTGCTTGTTAACCTACCAACGGATTCCAGAAGATTTGGAGGGATCATAGGGGTTGATGCTCCCAGGGGTGCGACTGTTGGGCGAATCGCAGATGATTGTGCTTCATTCGGTGGTGTACGCAATGGAGAACATCTGCCATGCGGGTGTGTTGATTTCACTGGCGATGTAATAGTTGAAGGTGGACCTTGAGTCCCTCTCACACTCGCCTCTTGTGTCCCAGACGCTTCTTGTGTCCCAGACGCTTCATCTTCTTCGGGTTCGACGACGACCTCGTCTTCAATCCGTTCTCGGCATCCACCGCATCGTCGTAATCGTTCCGTGATATCTCGGTACATAGTTCTCGTTGCGATTTCACCTCTGGGTCTGGGCGGTTGTATCTTTGCAGGGATCCGACCTTTTCCGTGCGTTAATTGATAACCGGGGTCAGTTTTCTGGTATAGCATATCCTTTTGGGAGATGTTATGTCTGATAATCTGGACTTTCTTTCCTTCTACCAGGCCTGTGAATATACGGGGGTGCCATTTTTTCGAGTTATTTGCGAGATAATACAGGGTAATTGGTGGCCGAAGGTTTTTCCTGGCCCATGAAATTAATCTCATCATCGCCTGCAACAAAAAACGATTACATGTATAGTATGAACAATTATAATTATTTCTCGTAGTATAAGAGTCTTAATGGCCCGTAAAAAACTTCATCATTTTGGGTCTCATAGAACAATGTTTGGGACATACTTTATGAAATTGAATGTATGCGTAATTAGATCCTTACCCTATAGACGAAGCCTTGCTCGCACGTAGACGACTCGCCGTCACTAACACATATATATAAGCGCTCATCGTCAAATAGAGCATCTCCTGGTCTTGCTCGTTGCAGTTTGGGCGCTATTTCGTCGAGCACGGTAACTGGAAACATGACGGAGAGCTGAAGTTGGAGGGACGCGCACCGCATAAGCTTCGAATTGTAGAAAACGACGTGCCAATCTGTGACATTGGTGAACGTGCGCAGCGACGTTGCGTTAGCTTGGGGAACGTGTATCGTGGCCAGGCTCCCGTCGACGTTGTGCTTTTCATATTCGTATCTGTAACAAAAAAGGTTCTTATTCAGTAACAAAATACTTCTTCCTGAGAGTCATAAGAATCATACTTAATGAATTTGGGTCTTTGAATTTTGTAGATCCGAGTCAATGAATATTGTGGATCCTCGTCCTGGGCATCGAGAACGTTTTATATATTTATTGCAAAATATTTAAATATAGTTTTTGTTTTGGTTTTTTTTTTCTCTTTAAGTCGAAAAAAATAAATGTCTTAAAGATAAGGAAGCAGGATTACTGATTAATTTTAAAAAAAGTATTAAGAAATAGGAATCTGAATGTAAATGGGAAAGTGATCAGAGTAATAGGAGGTAAAACGGTTTGCATGAAGTGATGATAAGTTTGTATAAATTGTGTCCAAATGAGAACCATGGATTGTTGTGTTCATACCGACCGGTAATACAGATTGTAGAGAAAAGGGTTGAAAAAGAGAATCTAAAACAGACTTTTTTGCACTATCTTTGAGGTTTAAATTAAAATCACCAATTACAACTAGTTGACTGTTTTTGGGTATAAGAGGAAATAATTTTTGGAAATTAAACTTAATTAAACACAAACGATACTTAGGAGAAATATAACCCGTTATTAAATAAATTCCCTGAACAAAAATCAACACTAAACATATTTTTTTGCCATTACGTTCTGAACATCGGGTCGCCAAAATGGTAAAGTCAACTTTAGAAAAACAAATAACCGAGTCAAAATTCACTTGTTCACTACATTTTAATCGAAAAGATTTCTTCATTCCAGGGAGAGAAACTTCTTGCCCATCTTTAACATTGCTTTCTCCAATAAATATTAAGTCATGATTTTCATATAGGGGATCATTTATGATGTTTTTTCTCTTAGACAATAAACTTATTACATTATGATAATAAATAGTAAAATGGTTGGTTAAATAGCCATGGTACAAAGGTAATTTTAAAGATGCTTCATTTCTTAATCGATTCAATTCATTCTGAAGTTCCATATTTTTTACGCTATCAGACAAACTTAATTCTCCTACTAAAAACAAATTTTGTAGTGGCTACATATAGCTATTTATAGGGCTACATATAAAAGTTGAGTACTATATTTTTGTTTTTCCTTAAGATTTAAACAGACATTGCGAAAGGTAGATCCTTGAGATGAATGGACAGTCATTGCTTCTGCTGGCACTATTGGAAATTGACATCTCACACGAGATGAGGAAGATGACTTGAAATTAATTTTAGATTTTATTTTGAATATGGGAACCGTATGACTTAATTTATTAGAAAGGACAGGCTTAAATTTTTGGGCTAGGAGTTTCCCTACCCTATCTTCATCAAATTTAAGAAAGCAAATATCTACTACATTTTTATTTTCTTTAAAATCAATCAATGTGGCCATGGTACCATTGGCTAAACCATCATTTACATCTAAATTAGAGCTTAACATATAACGCCCTGTCTCTTTTAATATTAATTTACTTTTCAATCCATTACAATCTTTATAAGATTGCTTCATCAATTTTTGACACAAAACTTTTTTTTGACACTCGGACATTATATCTGAAAACGTATCTTCCGCTAGACTAATTAAACTTTTTCCTTTTTTATTATTTAGAACGGTTTCGTTGCAATCATCTACATCTTTATTTGTATAAAAAAGGTGACAACAATCTTCAGGAATTTCATTTGATTTATTCTCAAAATTTCCAGAATTTAACAATTTTAAGTCGTTAAGAGTAAGGTTACCCTCGGCAAAATTACATAGAGCATCAATGAAGGGTAAATCGTCTTTTTGACGCATTACCGTTTTTAACTCATAAAATTTAAAATTTTTCCAGTTTAGCATTACACTTAAATATTCCAGTCTACTGGCTTTACAGGCAAACACGGGTGAGTCCATTACAGGCGGGAGTTGGCGCAAATCGCCGACTACTAATACAGATTTGTTGGCAAAAAAATTTGGAATCCCGAATATTTGTTGCAATCGATTATTCATAAGGGTAAAAAGCCTTTGGCCTAACATACCAATTTCATCTATTAACACTAATTTAACATTTTGCATTGCTAGTCTTATGGAACTTACAGTTTGAGAGGATATAGCTGGTATTGTTGTGCTATTTGTCTTTGGAATAGATAAACATCGATGAATTGTATTGCCATTTATAATAAAAGCTGCCTTACCAGTGGGAGCCATAACTAAAACACTGGGAAACTCGGCCTGACTTTTAAAAACACTTTGTTGATGACTGGTAAAAACATGTTCTGTTATGAAAATTACAGCATGAACAGTATGACTTTTTCCAGTACCTGCGCAGCCTGATAAAAAATAATGAAACGGTTCTTCTGGGAAATTTAAAAAATTGTCAAAAATTTGTAAGACAAACATTTTTTGCTCTTCATTTAAAGAATTAATTACGTTAGATATATCGGGTAAATATTCAATTTTGGGTAATGAATAGCTATTAGTGATGTTTACATTTGACTGTTCTAATTGAGGTTGTTCAAAATTTTTGAATTGATCTAACAAATCCATGATTTCATTACTCTCTGAATCATTATCATCTACATCTTCTTCATTATCTGAGAGGCAAAGAATGTTATGAGATTCTAAGACAGTGTCGGCATAGGCGTTTTTTCGGCCAAAATCAAAATTGTAACGGAGTTGATTTTGAAGTATCATTTGATAATTTTCTGGTTTATAAAATTTTTCTTCCATGTTAATATTTAATACTTCACTAGTTTCATTACGCCAAGGAAGAAATAACAGCAACTGTTCTCGGTAGTATTCCTGAGGATCAATTTCTTTCTTATAATTACAATACCGTATAATTTTAGGCTTTTCTCTGAAACAAGCATCAAGAGGGGGTAGTGACTTGTCAGAAACTTCAAAGGTCTTAAATTTATCCTTAACTAGTGTTCAGAGGAACAGCCTGAGGAGTATTTATCAAGCTGTTGCAAAAAATGTATTTGATCTGTCCGATTCTTCGCCAGTCGTGAATGATATTAGGAACACAACTAAAATTTTTACTTTGTCTCGTAATAAAATGTACCGTGAGTCTCGAAAAAGTGAAGACAGAATTAGCTAAAGAGTGGGACACAATCGATGTTGTGTCGATGAAAAAGCATTTTAGTCAGGGGGCATGTGTCGTCCATCGTCCACGTTTGGGATGAAAGTTACCACCATGTTCATCATTACAAAAAAATGAAGGGAAAATTATAAATGTTAAGCAACCTTGTATGATAGAATGGATTACAACACCAGTTCTGAAATGCTTCTGTCGCAGAAGCAAAATAATTTTAAAGTGTAGCCAAGTGACGATAATATCTAGTGTAGCTAGTTTTTGCACTATGTTAGAATTACAAACTCTGGTCATCAATAACAGTGCCCCCAATGATCTGCATGAGGAAACTATTCTTTTCTCTAAATATTAGGAGCCCAATTAATATAAAAGCCCTACAAGGTTATTCCTCTAGGCACATATTTCCCATTGGTTTTCCTGTAACAAGTTTTGCAATTTTATAGATGTTGGGTCTAATTACAAAAAATAGTGCTACAACCACTAGGCACATCAACTTGTCAAGTCTTTGATTTCGAAGCTTCTATCTGTTTACTGTATTTATTCATTCTAAGTACCAAGCAAAACAGTGTAACCACTCACTACGTAAGTTCCATATGTTAGGGCGTTCACAGTCCAGTGTGCCGTTTTCCTCTCTGCAGAAGGCTAATTTGATCTTTTTGCTACTAGGGTATATAGATCTACACAATTCTAGAAATCTAAATCTAGAAAATATGAGCAAGCAAACATGAGTATGTGAATATGAGTCAAAGCAGCTACTTAGGCTCAGGGTTTGTTACAAGGTGCGTTATCTTGAATGTACATGTCAATAGTGAGTCTGCATAACTGCGTATCGAGTTTGCCGTATTTAAAACTTTCAATGCAGGCATGCGTTTTTACATTATCACCGACAATGTGTAATTTTCAATAGGGATCCTTTGGAGATCTAAAATCACAGATGCAAGATAGATTTAATAAAGATAGTTTATTTTGTGTAAGAAAATATCACCCTTTAATGAAAATCATTTGTTTTGTATAACCTGTTAGTGATGATGTAACACATTTTATCTGTACTCAGGAAAAATTCTTAGGTCACATAAGTGCAATTTATTGATTCACTGAGAGTTCCAATGCATGAACTCGATTAATTATGATTTTAGCAAAATTTTCAAAGAGCTCCATGCTTGCTCCCCAAATATGATCTGTAATTAATTTATTTTACTTGAAATTTCCAGTGAATATAGTAATCAAGTTATGATTCTCCAAAAATCCAGACAGCAGTTTTAAACAACGCTTGTTTCTAAAGTAAACTTTGCCAAAAGTTGATTCAATTTTCAATCAGCGTAAATTATCTGAAGGTGGAAGACTCAGTGTAGTTCTTGAATCTTGGACCTGTTTTTATGATAGTCTCAAAATTGCTACTTACCCTCTTCATTTACTGGAGACAGCAACCTTTTCCAGTGATTTTTGCCGATTGGTATGAACCAACCTAAACTTGGAAACCTTGCTAAACTTGGAATTAATTGCATTCTTTGGTTCTGCTACATTGCAAACATCCCAGCATACTTAATCTTTCAGCCAGGAAAATTATCCTCTGGATTGCTCGAAAAGTTCAGTGATTTTTCTCACTTTGAAAATATTTGGTGAAATTTTCAAGGAACTAAGCAGCTCGTTTTCCTTCAAAAAAATAAAATAAGAGTAGACATTTATAAACACCAGAACAGATCTGCTGTTTCCAAGATTAACCATCAATATGATTATGACATTGTTAGATTATATTTTATGTTGTAAGGCCTTCACTTTTGTCTTGTCTCCCTAAACTCTATTTTTATTTTAATGTGCTTGTAAACTATGAAAATTGTACTTTTCTAATGTTTTAACTCTTGTGCCTTAAATGAACTTTTTTATAATAAAAAGATATGACCTAGTATGAACAGATTTTCAATCATATTTCTTTACACTACTGATCAGGTGGTTGAAAAGGCCTTTGCTCATTAAAAGGAAAGCAGCGGGCCAATTATTGAAATTTTAAAGCAGCCTGATAAGACATCGATTTGCGATATATTGCATGGTTAAGATAGGCTACGTCTTGTCGTGTCGGGCTGACATAGTTTCAATGATCGGGCCCGTATGTGTACCAAGAAACATGGGATCTGCTTGTTAAATTAATGGAAGAATTCTCTCAAGAGACAATTTACATCAATTTGCATTATGTTCTTGGGCATCAACTGAATTTCCAGGGTGTCTGCAGGTCTGGAAAACCGGGAAAAATCAGGGGATTTGATCACTGTCTGGAAAACCGGGAAAAGTCAGGGAATTCGATCGAAAACCGGTGAAAGTCAGGGAATTTTCGCAATTCGAACATTTCGCGGCTATTTTTGCTCGTCACTGCCGAATTAGCCGAGTAGCGCGCTCGCGTGGCTGATAATGTAAACTGCTCTGTTCAACCAGTTTGCAACATGCCCGCTAGGTTCACTAATGTGTGTTCGCTAACTTTAAAGATGAAATCGATCTGCCTTATTTAATTTATCTACTTAATTCATGCCAAATGGCAAGATAGACTAAATAGACTTGAATGAAGTTAACTTGCTAACAGCAGAAAATTACAGTAAATAATGATAGGAAACTAAGTGCCCCAGTTTTGAGCAGATGGTTAATCAATTTTTTCAATAAGTTAGGAAATTTAATGAAAGTGCTAGAATTTTAATTTTTCTTTAACTGAGTAAAGAAATCTTTAATGTCAACTGCATTTTGCATGAAATTTTTCTGGTTCTTAAATCAACATGTTCACAACTGGTGCATCCACCTTGGAGAAATATTATTGGTGGATTATATTCTAACAAGCCAACGCTTGTTGAGTATAAGACAAATTCAATATCAACAATAGGTTCTGGAATCCACTGAATTAATTGACCTTAAAAAAAAAAAAATCCCAAATCAAGCAAATTTATCTAAAATCGAGAAGAGACTCGTATTTCCTCCTGATTATAGCAAAATCTACCTGAGTTAGGCACATTTACAACTCATGTTTTATATTTTAAGAAAAAGAGACTTGTATTTTCAGGGCACTAAGTAATATGCCAATATTTATGAAACCACCAGGGTGAACTATAGTTTGAATTTTCAAAAGTATACGGGGCAATATGTCACAAAGAGAGCGTAATAGAGCTTAAAAATTAAATTTTGAAGGTGAATTTTAGTCTGAGTATACCATTTTGGAATTAGCTTTATTTTGAGTATTTAGGATCTCATCCCTTTCAAAAGTATTACTCAACTCCTTCCAACGCCATGGTAATTCAGAATATGACTTTACAGGGTCATTCCTAAGGATAGCTTTTTTTAAATATTTTTTAACTAGTTCATCGTATGGCTGAACCAAAAAGTCAGGGAATTTTGTCATTTTTTGTCATGGAAAACCTGGAATTGTCAGGGAATTTCATTTTGAAAATCTTGTAGACACCCTGATTTCACTCAGCAGAATTCACAGTGGAGCTGCCTAATCCATTGGCTCCCCACCATGAAAAAATTAATTTTCATTTTGATTGTATACACAAGAGATAAACAAGGGGGGAGTGGATCTATTTTCATGACTTTAAAAAACTTGAGTGGGAAAGGAATTTCAAAAATTTAAATTAAGCCTAGAGGGCCTCCAAACTCATGGGGAAATGAGGGGTGCCAAAGTTATCACAGAAATACAGAGGAACTGGAAAATTTTGGCCGTTTTGCTCTACAACCAACGGTTTATACGATGTATGCAATTTTCCGCTCTGTTTATTCTGACGTAAAATCCACTGTTCCAAGAATTTTTTTTAGTCTTATACCCCTCTGGAATTTTTTCAAACTACGGTAAATTATAATATGATCTTTGGCTATCAACAAGGGTTTCTGTGGTTGACAGTTTAGAAATCTTGAGAATGAAAACTCTGGTGGAAGTATAAAATAATAATAATTTAATTTGGATGAAGAGATGAATCACAATGATAAATTAACATGAATGTATTTCAAAAATGTTACAGAGTAGTTTACAAAATCCTCTCAAAAACATTGAAAAATTAAGGCGATACCCTGAAAAATAATTATTTAGAAATCTACTGCATTAGTGAATACACAGAATTCCAATCCTGCTTTACAGTGGCTTCTCTCTAATTTTTGGTAACAAGAAAAAAAAATAATATACGTAAGATGAACAGAAAATATTTTGTACAAAGAGGCATGTTTTCTGTTTGGGGTTCCCAGCTAATATCAGTTTGCAGTGTAGGTAATGGAAGCATGACCATAGATTGCTGGCAAATAATATATTTTACATCTTTCTTGATATCGCCTTAATTTTAAACTCGAAAATTTGCAGATTCGTTCCTCCACCATCAGCATTGGATATTTCTTCATGCTATCAACTCTTTCATTAACTAACACTAAAAATTTTATACCAACTTTTTTTTTCTTGTACAGGTTTAAGAATTGATTTGATGTTGGTGGTCCGTCAGCATCAAAGAAATAAAACACTGGATCAGGTCCAGCCGATATCTTAATGACATAATTAACAGAGGAGTTCTGTTCTGAGAGTAAACCAGCAAAACTGCTTTTCACAGCAAAAAATAAAAATAGAAAGAAATTGTTTCACTTAAAGTAATTTGTAAAGTTATTTCTGAGGTTCCCGATCTAAATTTTTTCTTTTGTAAGTAAAAGTAGTTCATCTGCTGAACTCCTGGTCACACTTTTAATTTTCTTGATTGGTCTATTGCAAACTTCGGCGTTACGTACAGTAGAATCGTTTTTCGTTTTCTAAGGAAAATAGCTTAAAAATCACGATAAACGTATCAGGAAAGTCTGAAATTCACTCCTAACTTAATGATTGTGTAAGAGATCAGCGGACTTTAGAGCTTCCTTCAAAAGGATACTACAGCAAAGACATGGTTTGTTACAGATAAAACATCCGATTTCACAAAGTTAAATATGGCCGCCGTCAGAAGACACCCCTCAAGTAAAAACCAATCTTTTCAACTACTTATTAAATTTAATTTGAAATGGAGGTAAGAAAAAGTGTTGGTTATTATTGGATAACGTTTGTTACGTCACTGGTTTTTAATTTAAAAACTGCAACACATGGCGGCCATATTCAGTTTCGCATGGAGTTGTCAAGCTTCCTGGCCAAAAGATGAAAAATTCTCTTGCGTATTATTCAGAGTAATTTCGATCATAATTCTTTAAGAGTTCCAAACTTTGTGAACTGGCATTCCATTCACACCAAAGCCCTACCTGCTGCTAGAACCTTTTAAGCAGAGCAGAGCTTGGTTCAAGTCACCAAAAGATTCTCTAGAATCATTGAAAAACTAACATTAAACGGACATAGGTGAGTTGATGACGTTTGTGATGATCCTTTATGAAATGTTTGTTTCGGAGAATTCCTACATAATAACACCAAAGACAGATGTGATGAGAATTTGAGTGATGTTTGATGAAGATCCAAGAGATTTCAATTCATGGCTAATAATTTGCACATGAAATCAGTGGTTCATGAACAATGGAAAAATTTACTTTTATGTAGATCATAATTATTGTTATAGATATATTTTGGTGCCTACAAAGTCATAGAATTTTAAAATAATTGGAAAAATGTACTTTTCTCCGTCGTCAAGAATTGCACCAAAAACATAAAATCCCAAACCAGAGAGCTATAAATTGGTAGTTAAAGTCGAAATGTGTTCCTCAGGTTTTGAAACTGCAAGACTTCGCTCATGTTTTAATTTTTCAAAGGAATACTGACCTACAGTTTCTGTTGAAATTTTTGATTAATTCTATTCCTTTGTACTTACTAAAGAATTACACAAAATTACATAGAAAAATTTTGATTAGGTAGTTTTTCTGGAAGAAAATAAAACATAATCAGAGATTTTTAGACATTACAATGGAGGTACACATTTTTTTGTCCAGCCATCAATTCTTTGCTACATTAGGAGTTGCAAATATCGAAAAAATCATCAACTGTGTTAAGGATAATATTGAAATCATACTTTCTTTAATTTGAATATTTAAGTACTAAATGCACAGGCTTGAAATTATAATGATAACATGGGATTAACATACTGTTGCTTTGGATCAAGGGTAGGAAAATTACTCAAGATTTCAATCAGTTTAAAAATTCACGGAAATGAAAATCGATACTTCTAACCTTCTTGTGGACAGGAGCTTCCGAAAATCAATTCAATTTTGCATTGTAAATGCAAACTCACAACATCGTACTGACAATACTTTGGAGCCCCATTCGCAGAAATCAACTGATTAAAGGAGAAAATGAATCTGGTCAGTTCCAAAATTCAGAAATCTCTAGAGATAAAAAAGTAAATTACAAGTATATACAACTAACACACTGAAAAACAAGAATGTTGATACATCGTGACATATTTTACATACAACTACGATTACCTAATTTACAGAGCATTCACAAATGATAATATCAAGTTTACGAAAACAATGATTTTTAGTGACCGTTCTCTTTCCATCCTTTTCTTTGCACTCTCTTAATGAGCTCACAACAATTTGGGCTTAGATGGGATTTCCAACAAAAGAATCTGGTTAGAAGTTTGAGATTCAAAGCAGGAAGAAATATGTATCAACGGTTTGCTTTCTAAGACAAGACAATAGTTGACTCATTAAACAAAATAATACTATGATGAAAATTAACACCATTTTTCAACACTGTTTAGGTGCATTATCAGAAACTTTAACTATTCTGAACACATCATAGGGAGAACAACAAGCTTTTCTGGTTATTCTAGAGGTGGAAAGAAAGGGTTTGTTACCATGGATGATAAAAGTTAAGTTTTTAGCTTTTAACATTTCACAGAGTGAACACAAACTTCAGAATAGAAAATTTGTCGGTTTTCAAAGCATTATGTACACACAGTGTAACTTAAGTAGATAACAATTACTGACAACAAATCAAGCGATAAAACTACAGTACCTCGGACGGATTCAAGTAATACAGAACTTGACAATGTACATGACCATTACTTAGGCCACAGCTTTATAAAGTATAACACATATTTTAGCAAAAAGGGCTTCCATTTCATCGGTGACAAAAAAGGCTTGTCTGATCTGGTACCTAAAAAACCTCTCTAGCGGCATTATGCAGTTAGATAAACTTGGTCTCTAAAAATTTTAGCCAAGTTGCACTACCATAAAATACATAGTCACCAAGGAAGCAAAAATGTTTTGTAAAGACAATGTATATCATTATGAATACCAACTGAGGTGAAAGTGTTGACCAATGAAATGATCATTAGGCTCTATCAAAAAATTACCACGTGGAGATTTGGTTGACTCCATAAAAACAAGTTGCAGATGGTTATAACCGCAAAATGATACTTGAGAATTTACCAAAAATTTCTTTACATGTAGATAACAAAATGTCAAAAATCTAGAACACAAAATAATACACATAGCAACTAAGTTAAATATTTATGCATGAAAAAAATCCACCTTAATTCATTTGCTTCAATTCAACGAGACAGCCCTCTCATGATACGAGTGTAGGTTCCCAATAGATCGGTTGCGCTTGTCATACATACAATCATGTCCAGATGGTCTATGCTTTACAATAAGTAAGTTGAATTTTCACCTTGCAAATTTAAAGAAGTAAAAGCTTTGGGAAAAATCTTTCAGAAAGCATTTTGAAAGTGCTTATGTACGAGTGTCATCACTTCTAATTACAATACGAAAATTCTTTGTTTCGTTTAACATATCAACTATCAAAACACGATTGTACGATCACGATTGACCATGTTGGACCATTCAATTGAAGAAAAAGATGAATAAAAAGGCCCTTAAGAATAGTTACCCTGAAGGGGTATTCTGTAAATACTGAATGAAAACACAATTTCAAAATGTTACAGTGTGATTTAGTAAACACTTGAGGAAAACTTCACAATCCACAGTGAAGAACAATTGAATATCACAGAAATATAACAATACTGATAACTCCTGATGGTTGCATTAAAGTAAGAAAGAAAAAAAATGCATTTTCTTAGAACTTAATATGCTCAAATTTAACTTGAGAGGTTTCATTACAAAAAATTCTTGGGTCTTGTAGTTAATGCAGTTTAAAAAAATGTTTCATACGCTTCATACATGGAGCAATATCATACTCTAAGATATAAAATCATTTGAGTAACACAAAACGCCTAGAGAGCAAAGCACTTCAGGGGTAGTTTGCTAAGCGTTCAAGAGGTATAGCCCCTTAGTAAATTCATCATTCAGGAATTTTTACCGAGTGCTTTTGACGAACATTTCACAAGCAAAAGTTAAAAACAGTTCGTCTGATTTGTTCTTGTGATGGAATCACTCTTATTTAAAGAGCTGTACGCAATGAAGATGAGGCGAGGGAAATGAACTACCCTCTTCATTTCTTTTTGTTTCGCTTTCTGTTTTTCCTCTTTTTATTCAGATTAAACGCTTGTTCGTCAGAGGACTGCGTTGGCGTTGTTGGCGTAATTGGCACCGATGAAGAGCTCTGTTCGCTTTCATCGTTTTCCTCTTTTCTACTCTTCTCGAAAGGTGAGAGGTCCAGCGATAATTTTTTGTTCGGTGATGTATCAACCTGCTGACATTAAACATTTCATTAGAGCCACGAAAACGGAAGAAATCAAAGAATAAAATGGAGACAAGAGTAAAGTGCTGATAAAACAAAAGGAAAACAGAAATTAAAACAATTTGTCATTGAAGTATTTACAGACATGTAAGAAAAGATTCCTTAACTTTTCATCGGAGCTTAAAACCAGAGATTACGAAAATCCTGTTTATTATTTTTATTATGAAGCTCCTAATATTCATTAGAAAGAAAGAAACTTTTCGGTTCATTACATATTAGCCCTTGAAGTTTTGAAACCTTTCTAGCAATATTGTAATTTTCCACAACCTATGTTTCTTTACTCATAAATACCTACTCAAAAGATGGAGAAAAATTGTGAGGGAGGCAAATGAAGCATTATATGTAGGAATAGCAGAAGTCAACTTTTGAGGTTTTGAGGAAATCGCATTAGAAATTTTCAAAGCTTTGGACTTCTACGCCCCTAAGAACTAAGATTATTTAAGAGGATTCTGATAAGGATTTTCATTAAGAGCAACTCCTCTAAAAAACATGTCTCTGATGCTTCAATTGAGTTAAAAAATGAACGACTTAAAGTTCTATTTTAAAAAAAAAGTAACGTCTGCTGTTTTTGTAAATGACATTTCTTACACGACAAAAACTTGATCTTATGAGAGCTTCTGTGATGAAAAATGACTGAAATCAACACAAGTATGACAGCTGGTCAATGTTTAATGAAACTCGGAATAAAAAACGAAACTTTCGGTAAAATTTTTAGAAAAAAGGAAAAAATTAAAATCAGTCTTCTGTAAAATAAATTAAAGTAACAGCCTTTTGAATGAAAAATAGCCAAAATAAAGAGTGAATCTTCCAAAAATGAGCGTTAGCATCTCTTGAAATCATCGAAGACCAAACCACAGATCTCATGGGGAAATTCGAACAAAGAAGCTCACCAATAGTAAACCAGCAGATGTTGACATCCGCTGTTTACACATATGATGATTTGTTTTTAGATCGCTGCTTGCTGGAAAATTGAGCTGTAAGTCTAAAACTTTGCAAACTTACTCTTGAATGATTGAGGATTTGAAAAAGTCAATATTCCTAAAAAAAGGAGATGTTGACATTCGCTACTCTTACAGATAGTTCTTCAAATGTTCAAGTTTTTGTCATAAAATTAGATGCAAGAAACTGAAAATAATTTCTATGCAATGATAACCGGGAAAGCGCTCTTTTCATTGTTACCATCTTCAAAAATGCATGAGAGATTTTAAAGAAGTATTATCAACATATAATTCCATCCATTCTTCAGAGCACTGTCGAACATTTTCTGGATTTAATTTTCGAAATTTATTATGAATGTATTCCACCTAGGTTAGCTTCAATTAAAGGCGATCCTAGTGTCAATGGGACAGATGAATCAGGCAAAGTATCTTACCTCGATTATATTGTTCTGTTCATCTGCCAGAGCCGTCCTGTTGACAACATTGATGTTGGCGTTGGCTATATTATTGTTGATGTTACTGATTTTATTGTTGTTATTTTGACTGTAAGTTTGATTGACGTTCACATTTTCAATTATGGCCGCTTGCTCTGTGGATTCAGGGTTTGTCCTCTTATCCAGATTTCCAGTCATTTCGCTCATCTTCTTGATAACTATCTGCGCTTGCAGAGCGTCCTAAAGACATGAAAATACAGAGTATAATTAATGAACCATCAGACATAGGATCTTAAGTGATTGATTAGGAGAAAAATAAGCCCTTTTGATTTTCTTCAATCTAAGATGGGAAACTTTTTTTTTGCGATTATCAACAAACGCTGCTGAGTACTTCGAGGATAGAATCGATTGCTGAATTGGAGCTTCCTGAGCTGAGAAACGAGTGTTTTTGTCGATTTTCAGGATTTACTCATATGCTTCATTCGTAGGTTGTGAGAGCCAAAGGACTCATGAAGTATTTAAGGCCAGAAAGTCAAACACCAAAGTCATTTTAGAGGGGACTGGCTATATTTCAGCCTGATCTTCAACTTTCAATTTTGAAAAAAAGAAAACTGAAAATTCAAAAATACTCAATCTCACGAAAATTATATTAAAACCGCTGATGCGTTTCAGGGCTCTGTTGACAGACTGACCGAGTTGGAGTTCAGCTTTGAGGAAGAAGGGGGTTGAAATGCGTCCGCGGTTTTACTTTACTTTTTAACTAGACTTTATTCATTAGTTAGAATTTTTCAATTTGCCGATTTTTTAAATTTATTAAAAAGCCCATGGTTTGTTACCTTGGTTTCCTATTTGTTTTGTTTCGTTTTTCATTACTTTAGGTTTGGTTTCGATTTTGAACCCAAAATTTTAGCCCATGGAAGGTCTTTGTCACTGGTTGTTGGACAGAGTTTCATTTCTTACCTGCTCCAAAGATTTAAGCCGGGCTTGTCTCCAGGCTGCTCTTTTTTCAGCATTCAGCGCTCGCTGCTCTGCTTGAGAAAGTTCTTTGTCCGATTCATCTGCTTTCAGTATGCCCTGAATTTAAAGAGAGAAAATAATGTAGAATGCAGAACACCTTAAGATAGTCATGCCAAAACAATTTGTATACGTCCAACCCAACCAAACTCAAGAGATAGGGGGAAAAAAGTGCTAGTAAGAGCAGATGGTTTTTTAATTGACATCCTGTGTGACAAAATCGCCCCTCATTTGGGGAAATGTAAAAAGAAATTGCAAATGGAGATGTTGCATGTGTGAGGGATTTGCGATTCGACTGTTGATTCTTATGTAAAAGTTTGCGAGAAACACGATGGTGCCACTGGTTTTCTCTGAAATCGTTTCCCGAGCTCAAAAAAAGCTCTCAAAGTGAGGCCAAAATGGAGGGTATATCCCACCCTACCCTAAGAGTCCACCTCTACATCAAGACAAACTCTCCATGCAAAGATTGGGAGCAAATACATTAGCAGGGTTGCCGTGTTTTCAGTTTTGGAGTCCCCAAATGAAGTGGCAGCCCTGTCAATGTATTTGCTCCCTATCTTTGCATGGAGAGATTGTTTTGATGTAGAGGTGGACTCTCAGAGTAGGGTGGGATATCCCCTCCATTTTGGCCTCACTTTGAGGGCTTTTTTTGAGCTTGGGAGACAATTTCAGAGAAAACCAGTGGCATCATTGTGTTTCTCGCAAACTTTTACATAAGAATCAACAGTCAAATCGCAAATCCCTCACACATGCAACATCTCCATTGATGAAGTTATAATTTTTAAAAAGCTTCGAAGGATGACAAAATCTAACATGCGTCATTCCCTTAGCTAATGGTTTGAGATGGTGTTCAATCTGGCTTCACAGCAAAATGAAAGGTTTCCTGTGTCAGTGTAAATGGATACAAAAGGGACCCAAAGCAAACCAAAGGACCTTTGTCCTGGTGGCCTGTTTGATAGTACTGCCCTCTCTTTTAACTCTTAATGGTGCACTATGCTAAAAATTAACTCATTAAATCCACTCGAAACATTTTTATGGCTGTTCTACTGAAGAATTTTTTTGTCTCCAGACAGGATCAGACCACAGAAAAGGAGTAAAAATCTAAGTTTACCTACTTTCCTTTATGTTTAGTTCAACGGAGATTTAGAATAGAACGTAAAAAAACAATGGAGGTAGTGATACAAGATATTATGTTAGTTGGAGATTAATTTCATGGTTTAACTCACGTCCTGAATGAGCTTGGTTTTCAAGCGATTCTCAGCTTTTGCAGTGCGAACAAGGCCAGATGAAGGACTTATTACTGAATCGTCGGGTATATCAGCATTCAGAATTCCAGAGTGACTTCTATAGAAAAAAAAAAAAAAAAAAACAAGAAAGACATGAAACACATACTAGACTCATTCCTACTGAAAGGAAAATTCATCAAAAACAGTCTCGAAAAAACTAATTTTTCTCCATAATTTTGATGATCTGTTCTTCTACTTTCAAAATTTAGTTTGGAAAAAACAACTTTTGAGGTTGGTAAAACTGGAAAGTAAAACTGACCAATATAACACATATGTATTATCTGGAGGTGTACAAAGAATTAAAATTTAATCACAAACATGATTGATTTTTATTTATCATCATACTTGAAGCAGAATGGAAAAATTAATCATGTTCGAAATTTCTGCTAAATTACTTTAAATTTTCATTATCCTGATAGTGGAAAAACCCCAGTCCCTGACAGTGAAGATTGCATTACGCATATTGGTAACCCAGTGAAAACAGTTTGGCCGCTCATATGCAACGCTTTGGTTATATGGCCGCTTTTAATGTTGCTGATGAAGATTTTCTAGATGCTTTTGTTGTAGAGGTTGCGAAAGCATAATATAAAAAATAAAAAGTCAGCTACATAATTATTTTAGCATAAATTAAGTCAAGTTGACTGCTCGGATTTCACTCGTGTGAGGTCCCCTTAAGTTAGATTAGGTTTAGTTTTTATAGATTTCTCATAATATTTTCTCTCTTTCCGGAGTTTCAATTACTCTCCACCTCCTTCCCTGACCTCTGATCGATACCCCGACTTCGATTTTTATTCTTTTAATTACGCTGACTTTGGCTAAACTATGAACGATTTCCTCAAATTAAGGGAAGAAAACTCATAAGTTGCTGAAATTGCTGAACTGATGTGCTACGCGCAAAATTCTCTCTGAATTGTCCTGTGAATTCTCTTACATTTTTAGGTTGCTGTAAATTTACTTTCCAGGTTTTCCATGCATTTAAACTAGAAAATTGGGAAAAGTCAAGGTGCTTTGGGAGAAAAGATCTTTCCAGAGAAAATATAGTGAGCCAACCTGATAAAAGAAAACAACTACAGGAATGATTATCATCTACTTAAGTCTTTTGAAAAGTTTCTTATGGAATTCATGTTCTTCAACTTCTTCTCTTTTTTTTTGTAAAGAAATTCATAATATAATGAAGAAAAGAAAAGGATTGCGCAGTTATTTTATTTTTCTTCTTTCAATTGGAATCAACTTGCTTATTAATTTTTTTACTATAATTGTTTCTTATTTGAACTGATTAAAATAAATAAAAAGAAGATGGTAATTTTTCAACTTACGATGATGTTTTGACATCTGACAAAATAACGTTCTTCATGTTCTCATCAAATTCATCCTCCATTTCACGTTCTTCTGAGTGGGTCATCAGTTTTAAGTCGTCTTTGGATAGTGTGGCAATTTTCTTTTCTGTAGAAGAATTGAAAAATGTGATACGCAGACAATATAGAAAATATATTTCAAAATAGAACTTCCGTAATCGCTATTTCTGCATATAGGGAGGCAAAAGCAGATGAAAAGTAGCTTTTCACAGATCACTGTCAGCTCTGTTACCTTCGACCAAAACTTCTACTTGATTTTTTTCCCTTAGTAACATTGGCTATCGTTGGAATTTGGAGGAAATTTCCACTTCTGGAAATTTGAATTATGGAAAAAGACTCTCAGAAATTGTTTGCCCACAATAAAATGTCACCGGATAAAGTTTTTGAGCTGATACGCTACTCGCAAAAGTTCCTCCCAGTTTCCAAGTCACCATATATTCCCTGACTTCCCAGGTTTTTAGACTGCCAAAAACCTTGATCACATCTATTGATTTAATGGTTGTTTTTCAATAAACCATCGATCGAATCAATGCCAATTAGTCTAGGCTTTTAATTTTTTAAGTGATCATGAGTTTTGATTCAACAGTAGGTTTTTAAATGATTGTCAATTGAATTTTTTCAAATCGTCGATCAAAATTGATTGAATCTCTTCTGGTCAGTTTCCGTTTCCATTAATCTATTGGTTCGATTTTACTAAAATGGTACATAATGATACTTTGAATATGAAATTCTGTAACTGGGCTCTGTATTTACCTTCTTCCTGCTTGAGTTTCTCTAACTCATCTTGACTCAGAAAGCTGAAAGCTCGCTCTGCAAAAAAAAAATCACAGAGGTGAAGTAGGAGTTAAAGGTATAACTAACATGCAAGAAAACATTTTGCCTGCATTGGTTTAATACATTTTGAAAATTGCGATGGAATTTCCAGGACATGCGGTGACTTACTTAATTGAAAAAACGTTTTGGAATCAAAGAGGTAGGCAGAGGGGAATTAAATTTTTGGGTCAGGAGTTGACTTATTTGAGTTCTGAAATTTCTTGCATTCTTGTTTTTTCTGCAAAAAAAATTCAAGATGATGGAGTCTAAAGTAAATACTGAATTCGTTTTTTCATTTTTCACAAACAATTATGGGGGTTTGGTTACTAGTTGCCATCTACAGGAAATGAGACTTTGGTCCAAAAAATTTCAAATTTGAGTTGCTGATACCACAACATTGAGAAGTATTATAAAAATATTGATCAGAAAGAAGAGCCTTAAGATATGAAGCCAAACCGAAATAACAGAGATAAGAAGATTCCACTTCAAATAACATAAATTAAAGAAAATTATTTTTCAAAATCTGGTCTGCCACGCTCAGGGCAAGAAATTGCTGTATTATCTTGCAATTTAAAGTATTTTATTGAAACAAAAATTAACTAAACAGTTTGTGACTTATTTTCTTAGGATACTAAACAGAATTTTCTATCAAAACGTCAAAATCTGACTTTTTGACCTGCCTGGACGAAAATAGCTCTTCTTGATATTTTGCCTTCGAGGACTCAGGTCCTGTTTCCCTATAGACGGACAGTGACGATGGAGCATTAGGAATTTCTGATTTAAGCATGGGAGGAACACCATGACATCACTATTTTCCTTTAAAATCAACTCCTGAGCTCAAAAAGTGGAGAGTTTCACTGGATAGTTTCAAGGTGGACTCTCAATGCACCATGGGGAACCCTCTTATCTATGGCCTCAATTTAAAGAGCTTTTTTTGAGCTTGGGAGTTTGTTTTAGAAAAAACCAATGGAACCGTCAAGTTTTTTGCAAAACTTTACGAAAGATAAAGTACTTAAATCGCTAATCCTTGACACATGTGAGGGCTTCATTAAGAATAATGTAAATAACATTGTTTTTTCTACTAACACTCAGACAACATATATGTTCTCATGCAGTTTTTTCTATTTTTCTCTTCACAAAAGGTTCAGGGCACATGCAAGTTAAAATTCGAGATAATACCTGTATTAAGATATAGTCCTGCTGCAGATGGGCAACAGTAGGGAAAGAAAAAGGAACAGATATGTTACCATTTGGTTTCTAAACATTAATATCTTAAAGCAAACTTAGATTTCAGAAAGAGTGTAATTAAAAGCCACCCTTCTCCAAGGTTACATCTTCTGAGGGAGTCATTTCTTAGTTTAAGATAGACTTTTCCTGAAAATTTCAGGGTCAGAAGCATATTTCTACACATGTGGTAGCTCTGCCAATTTCATAGCTTTAAAGGCCTTATCCTCTGATTGCAAGTACATACATGTTTAAATAAAATAAAAACATGTTTTGAGGGCTAAAATTTTGGAATTAGCAAAGGCTACAAATGCCTCTCTTGATCTGAGATGGGCCCTTTAAAACACTGCAATTGATGTTTGCGAAATCAGACATGATACCTGGCATTCTTCCACCTTATAGTCCGAGAGCCTGACGACATTTTGGGACAAACTCAGGACACAAGTCTTGACTTCTTGAATCTGAACTGATACGGAAAATGGTTGTCTGCCACGTGTTGGCACACCCCACAACATGGCCAATGATCATTTTCAGTGTCAATTTGAGTAAAGCTATTGATTTAAGTGGTCAAAACTTGTGTCACGAGTTTGTCGCAAAATGCCATCGGGCTCTCGGACTATTAGATTGCGCAGTGATGTACAAGAAGCGATCAGGTAAATAAGTGCTTCATTGCTCGCAAAAGACAAGGGGAAAGAAAATGTGGAATGCACGACCTCCGTCAATGACATCTTACTTCTCGTTTTTTGAACTGTGTATCCAACCAATGATATTGGAAGTACAAACATTGTTACTCCAAACAGATTTCGCACAAATTATCAAATGGATTTTGTACTTTACTCTGATCTATGAACTTCTGTCATTGAAAAACGATCCAGTACAAATGGCCCATTAAAAATGTGAATTACACAATGATTTAGCAACTGGTAGTTTCTTATGAGCTCAGGCACAGATTCTGAACATAACTGCTGGCACCATTGTATTTTTGGCAAAATTATATGCGTTGAAGTAGCTGATTAAATTGCAAGTTCCCAAGTGATACAGAGATTCTGGGACCAAACTCAAAATAAATTAAAATATAGGGATTATATCGGCTAAATTAGAGCAGCTGTGGTCACTTGCAGCTGTGTGTGTGGGGCTAGATTGAATCAAATTTTTCCCAGTTAAATAGCTGAGTTTAAAACATCAAAAAGGTTCCACCTTTTGACAGCTCCAGGCTCATCCGCATCCATTTTATTTATTTAACAACTAAAGTTACCACGCATTACTTGATTCTCAAACGCTACACTGAGCTCCGTGCATAAAAATGTCCTTGAAAGCCATAAAATTCTTGGAATCCTCATGATTTCTTGTTACAAGGCTTAGAGATAGAGATTAAGGATATGATCTCGTACCTGGTTTTGGTGAAGGATGGTTTTGCTCCTCCATAGCCTTTTCGAAAAACCTCAGCTTGTCACTAACGGATTTTTTGACAGGACTAGCTGGTGTTGGCAAAGGTTCCTGCAAGAAAATTTTATGTAATTTTAGTGGCTATGCATAATTAATCAACAAAACAAGAACACACAGACAAAACATAGACTAAACACGGGTGAAAACAGATGGAAAGATGGATAGTCACACGGATTTACACTGCTATGCTACCTGAAAGAGGAGTGACAATCAGTTTTTCAAAATTTACTCATTTCTAACATTTGATCACTTTCAGTTGAACGAATTGATTGATCCTGCTTTAGTAGAAAAATACATCTTCAGTAAAGGAAGGAAATGTAAAAAAAATAACTGAGCCAATTACCGTCATTATTGGCAAGAAAGCAGAACGTACTGATGTCACCTGCAAATTGGCGCTCTTACTACTGACTTGTATCAGATTGATCTGATTGTTAATATTTTGATACATAACCATGCTTGATAGTGGAAGGAGCTGCATATTAATGTCTTGTGTAACATGGAAATACTAAATCCTTTGTTTTGAAAGTTAAAATTTTATTGCACTTTGTGCAACACAATGTAAGCTTTATTAATTCTTAATAATTTGAACATCATCCTAAGCCTAGCAGATAGTTATTGATAATTTTACGACAATCTTCCAATACTTTTATCCTTTGAAGACTAAAAAATACACTTTCCCAAAACTTCATTACTGCGCATCCACTCTCTTTAGTTGGTAGCATAGCAGAGCAGGAAGATGAAAAGAGACAGATTAAAATAGGATCATTCAACGGTAAGAAATCGGGAGAAGATACATATAAGAGAGATAAACTAAGACAAATCAACGAAGAAATCAAATAAAAAAATAGTTGAAAAATATTAGGGTGCTGAAACAAAACAAACGTTTGCATTCATTTCAGTTATACGCACGCTTCAAAAATGGTGTTTTACAAAAAGAGTAAGAGAGAGGTAGAAGAGAAGAAGAAGAAGATGGGCAGGAAGGAAGAGAGAACCGCATCCAAAGAGAGATCTAAGGTGAAAAATTGTTTACCGTTTCATGGCTTGAAAATGTTTCTTCTGTAGTTGATCTGTCAAAAACTGTCTGAAAATTAACCGGCTTTTCAAATGGGATCAAATAAAATGAGCTCTTGGTTCACAACAGTTTACAGAGTTTATCTGAAGTCACTTGGTCGTGAAATCCCAAACCAATATTTCGAATCAGGAGGGCGATAAAACATTAATAATTCCGATGCTATTTGGGAGGAACTTCAAATCTCAATCGTCATGTTGATTAAACCGAAAAAAAGCAATTTTGGCTTCGACCAAATCTCACACTAAATTCAAGAGAAATTAAGGTTTCAAGAAATCTAACCATAAACAGAATTATTAAAATTAGGTTTGGTAAGCCCCACAACATAGATGACAGCGAAGGATTGCTAAAACGATACATGGAATGACTTGATCTAGAAATCACAGAGCCTTCCTGAGACAAGCAAGAGGCGCTTCCTTGTAAGGTAGTAAATGGTTGGTAAATACATTTTTAAAGACAAAGAAACTGGTCTTTTTCATTACTTCGTAGAAAAATTATCGATTGCTCAAAATGTTTTATCATTTACGTGGAATACGGATTGGATATGAACAAAACTTTTCTAAGCCAAGGTTTTGAAGAAGAGGATTTCATATTTTAAGAACCTTAGAATATGTTGTGGCACATTTGAAAAATTAAAGAGGAAAATTAAGAAACTATTACTCAGAAACGTTTTCAAAAAGATCTTTAACAAATAATTCAGTGTTCAGAAAGTTAGATTCAAGGCTATGGACTATTCTTTAATTGATACTTTTTAGGAAAAGCAATAGGGAAACTTGAATAGGTAGAGGATAAATCATCATAGATTGTGCAGCCTCAAGGACATAAAATCTATCACATTTCACAACTTTTTTCTAAATTTACATCACTCAGTTTCTTCTCTTTATTTTGAGTCTCAGTCAGGAATTTTTTGCTCACTTTGAGGGTAAATCACGATTTCTTTCAAAAACAGGATGTCTTTCAAGCACCTCCCAAAAAGTTTCCAAAGAATCAAGCACATTCAAAGCCTTAACAAAAATTTCAAAGACCGCACAAACCTTGATTACTTTTTAGCATGTTTCTCAATCGCCCTAATTGAAAAAGAGCAATTATTGAACTGATTCCTAAAAAGGTATTCTTCAATTGAGGGGGAGAAGAAAAAGATTTCTTCCCTTCCAGACTTTCAAATGGCAGTAATTTAAGTTTTCCTTACGAATTTCTAACTTGAAAACAACATCTTTGAAAAATTAAACAAACACTCCACTCTATTGTGAGACTTCTTTCAAGATTAGTACCCAGTCTGTTACTGCAGGAAACAGTGATAATTTGAGAGAGCAAAAAAATATAAATCTCGATGACAGTCCAACCGTTTCGAAACAGACCTTGGAAAAAATTGCACTCTAGGGCAACCAGACTTGTTTTTTTGGACAAGTGTGTTGATGACAAGAAAAGAGGAGGAAGCGGAACTTAGGATGGTATTATTTAAACTTTATTTCCTTCAATATTAATTTGATAATCTTCAATACATGGAAAGCGTTAATGATGATGATCTCCATCACTTAACAGGTTAGACACATAAGAGAACAGGAGTCAAATGTTGCTCATTCAGGTGGGATTGCACTGAAATCAATGGTACAACTCTGAGTTTTCTAATAATCAAGTGGTTTCCTCATGACCAGATACACTGTTTTCTTTCGGTTCTTTCACTTCTGCCAACTCTTACTTTGAAACATAAATGTTTCGAACTCTGCACCAACTCAAGCCGAAAATTAAAGGAACAGCCCTTAAATACCTAACTTCAAAAATCGTCTCATCTGGCATGGCTACAAACATTCGCACCCATCAAGACCAGATTCAACAAACTGCTGCCTGTGCACCAACCTAAAGAACAGTACATATGAAAGCTGTACTGCTGACTTGCTACAAAAATGGTTTATGAAGATACTTGATTCTGTCTTGCTATAGAGAAGAGAGGTCCCCAAATTGTTGATAAAGAGATTTCAATAAAATTTGTCTAATTCCAGTCTATAAAATCGACCACTCAACAAGGTATAAATTAACGCACCATGCATATGTACCCTCTTTAAAATTTTGCACAGAAAGCAATGAATACAACAGGAGGCTTCAAAATCAACTTCCAAGCAAAAATCAACACGAATATTCAACACTGATCAAATAGAGCTCAAAATATACAAATGACGTTATTTGTATTTTTGATGAAAGACTAATGTTGATTAAAAACATGTATACCTTCTTGAGGAGTGGATTTTGGAACTGCTTGTTGTGTGGATTATATGTAATGTACAATCTTGTATAGAAAATATGTGTCAGAGGGTTTTAGTTTGTAACTTGTCTGGTGTAAACAACAGAGCAGAGGGAGCCTCATCAGTCATCTCATGTTGTTTTGGGTCTTCTTAATTTAATGCAAAGTGATTCAACAGTGCATTACTCTTTGGGACCTCCATCGAAAGTGATAATTCCCATTTTATTACTTTTAACCTTCTTCGACTGAGGCGATTCATATTTACATATATTACTAGTTATTAGCTTATCTGCCACAAAATTGATGTATTTGGAAATTTGGTCTAGCGTATTGAGGGTGGGATGGGGCAGTCTCAAATCTAGCATATCAGTATGATAGGATTTACCGACAATGCCTTGCAATACATACGAAAAATGGTGGATTAGTTGCTAAGCAATGCTGTAATCCCCCCCCCCCTTACAAAAGAAAGATATATCTCTCCTTTTCGAATAAAGAATATTAGTTCTTTCCGATGGTAAATTAATTTCAATGAAAAGACATTGACGTTATTTTTTCTAAACAACGATTAAAAATTCCAAAATAAAGTAGGTACTGGAAGGCAAGCATTTTAATGAAATAGACCAATTAGTTAACTTCATCCATTGGATATGTCTGTACAAATAAGGTACAAATATAAAATTACGAGTATTGCACGGATTAAAATAAATTAGACATTGAACAGGAGCAAATGAGTGAGACATTTCTTGTGAGCCCATTCAGACTCATTTGAAAGCGATACAAAAATTTAGCTTTTTAAGTATTAATGTAGTTTTCCCTGGGAAACATCAATTTATTATAAATTATCTACCTAATACCATTTATTTTCTGAAAACGTTAACAACTATTGAAATCACAGAAATTTAGAGTAGTTATTACTAAAAACCTCAACAGTTCACAATGATTGATACCATCCTCCCATTTTGTGATCGACTTGAAAAATAAACTTCCACGGAGGAATTCACATTTTCACTGTAGATTCACAAGAAGCTTTCCAACAAGTGTTACAATCAACTGATACTGAATGAAAAATATCTAATTTTAAGTCACACTTGATAGTTATTTTCATAATTTACCAGTGACCACAAATAAAAACTCGTCCTTTCCCTTTGACTAACCATCTTCTAAAACGAGTGAGAAAACATGACCGATTAAGTGCAACTGTTCATATACCTTCTGGTTTTTCAAATTTAGCTTTTTAATTTTTAACATATGCCTCGACAGCACTACTTTAATGACAAAAAAGACAATTGTATTTTCAGTGTCAATGCAGAAATGCAATTGGATGGAAAACTACGAAATGGAAACACTTCTGCCGGATTACTGGTGATCAAAAAATGCGAGTGAAACAGAGAAGATTAAAATTTTTCAAGATGAGATCTTTGTTCAGGCAGTGTTTTTTGGACCAAACTCACTGTCAATAAGGCTTCTTGTTGCAAGCAACTTAGTAAAGACAATTCATTTGGAGACTACTTATCCTTAAAAACACCAACAAGACTTCTTCAAAAAAAAAAAAAATACGAACATGGATTGATACAAAAATTGCGTTATCACGTTAACATGGAGCACACGGATATAAGCAAAATAATCTTCGAAATGAATCTTGTAAATACAACCTTTATCAATTAATAGAAATAGAAATAGACACACCAGTCACCCCACCTGATACAACCTTTGGCAGTTACCAGGAAAAATAATTGTTATTAT